TTTTTCATGCATCTCTTCCGGTAGGGGCGAAGCCCCGTCCAGGTTCTTCCTTTAGTTTGTATGATCTATAAATGTGACCAGTGTTTCTTTCAGACAGGGGTAGGGGTACTTGAATTTTTTGGGGGGCGGGGTTGAATTTTCTGGGAGGCGGCGGACACTGAAAAAAGTATATAATTATATTTTGTTGAATAGGACGGTAGACATGTTTTGGGGTGTGTGTGTGTGGGGGGGGGGGGGGGGGGGGTGGAGCCCCCTCCTCACAAGTAGAGGTGCCTGAAAGAAACTCTAAATGCGACTTTTGTCATGAATGAGATTAGGTGCATGGTTTAGGGATATGCCTATGACTATATTTTGTATAAATTAAAGTACTGATTCTGGATAAAAATCCGTTTTCAATGTCATTTTTCATTTCCGGTTAAATTGAATTAAGGTAATGATTTTGGTTTTGGTTTTAGTTTAGAGAAAATAGACAGCACTATCAACCTAGCACCTGTTGTATCCTTCCTCAATGGGCCATTTTTCTCGTATATATATATATATATATATATATATATATAAAGAGAGAGAGAGAGAGAGAGATAGAGAGAGAGAGAGAGAGCGAGAGAGAGATGTTACGGTCAAAGCCCGATCAGCTTAGCACTGATAGCGTATTTCGTACGTTGGCGGGCCAATGCGCACACTGGCCGGGAACTACTGGCGAAAGTCCAAAGACTTTTAACCTGACAGCGTATTTCCTACATTGGCCGGCCAATTCGCGCACTGGCAGGGACGTGATGGCCAAAGTCCAAAAAGTTTAAAATTGACAAAGTATTTCATACATTGGACAGCCAATGCGCGCACTGGCTGGGATGTCCTATCTAGACTAAGTTGTGGTCGCGTTTTCATCATTCTGGGTGTGGTTTCATTGTGAGTAACGTATTGTTTGTATGTAGCTAGTTGCACAAATTTTTTAAAATAATTAAAATGACAAAATAACGGCGGGGTTGTATTAAGGGGACTAAATATTGAAAAATGATACCAAATTTATGTTTATAGGATAAACGGTTCTCTAGATATGACGGTTTTAGTTTAAAAATTGCGGGGACAACTAAGCCTATGGAAAATGAAAACAAAAATTGGTCACGTCGAGAGCGTAGAAAAAAGGCGAAAGGGAAATAACTCTACGTAGGCGCACAATTATAAAATTTTCAAATAAATATGTTTTAAGTATTTACAACTGCATAGAGTATCTCTAGCAAGATATTAATAAATTATTTAATTAAAAAATGTGGTTTAATAAAAATCATTTAAATAAAAATATACCACTGGATAGATTCAATCATTTAACTCAAACGTCATAGTAATAATAAAAGAAACTGGCTGAGTAAAAATAAACATTCCTAAACAATGAGGATAAGGTATGGAACAGGGAGGGGAATCATATGTGTGTTACAAAGGGTGCCTTTATTTGTGGACGATAAAGGGCAGATTCAATTCCGTATCACGTTTAGAAGGGCAAAAGGTACCCCAGGACTACATAGCTAACTTATCAACCATACTTAAGATACTTTCAACTTCATTTTTAGATGTAGTATTTGAAAAAATCAATCACACTAACTTAACAAAAGCAATTCAATTAGCACCCGACTCAAAGGTCTTTAACTCAGAAAGTCTCTCTCCCCCCTCCCTCCTCATACAATCGTTATTTGAGTGTGAGTGGGTATCAAGCAAATAAAGATAGGCCTTTGTTTACAAGGGTATGTTTTATTCTTTAGCAAGATAAACTAATGGGATATGAAGTAAATGATGGCTATCAGTGTACACATTCAGCTAGTCACAATAGAATGAACACACTCGTAAAATGTTGTATTTTAACTAATATTTCTTATATTAATAAGATTTGGATCCGGCACAGTCTACTTGGTGAATTTAACCACTATTCAATTAATAATTTCGACCTTTGGCTTATAATGTTTAAGACAGCTTAGATACATCTTTATTTTACATTTTAAATAGACCTAATGGCCTAATAATTTAAAACAAATATAACGGAATTTGAAAGCGGAGAAAGGTAGAAACGATATCGCTTATACTTAGACCTACGGGTCTATTCTGTTAGTCGGGTTTTAAAGCTTGTGGACGTATGAAAAAGAAAGTAAAAACATTTGTGAAAATGACATTAAAAATGTACCGACTCACACTAAATTCAAATTAAGTCTGAATGTTTTCTTATTTTAATTGATCAAAATAGCAACGGATATAGCGACAAAACATTAGCGATACCGTTTTTCTCGATTTTAAGATTTAAGTCTCTGCTATAACGCATTACGAAAAAGATGCTTTTCGTAGTTAAAAAATTATAGTAAAAATTGTATAGTCTTACTCAAATCGAACCTAGTGTCATTATTTTTAGTTTTAAATCATTATATGTAAAACTTAATTTCAACTTTGTGTTGAGTTATCGTATCTGTCGTATACCTAATTCAATCATTAGTAGCACGTAGTACAGGCCGCAACATATTAGCTCAATTCATAGAATTATTACTATTTTAAAAAGGTTAATTTATTATCTTTGAATAATCTCATTTACTAGTTTAATTATTAAAATTCTTTAAGAAAAAAAATGTATAAAAATGTGTGACATAATTCCTATAATACGAAGGAACATGAAAATGCGGTATCGATACCGCTAATAGGGTACCTAGTTTGTGAGAAATTTTGCATAGCCTGCTAAACGGATAACCCTAAAATAAATATGCTAGTTAGAAAGTTTAATAAATAATAAAGATAATCCTACTAAAAACAGAGTTGTTTCAATTTTTTACTATTTTATGTAAATTTTTGAAAACTCACCTTTTAAACTCAATATGAGATTAACAAAAACAAGTAAAAAGTTGAAATAAAAATTATACGGCGGTAACGGTCAATAACCGCTGCTAATAAGGAAGGCATATGTAATTGGAATCATAATCGCGCTCTATCGTTTTAAAAAACGGTTAACATAGCAATGCGAACGACTACATTTGAATTAGATTTTATTGTGCACGAAAGGTTTAGAGCCTGTGACGTCATATTTTATTTACTTGCTATATAGCTATATAGCATTCTATATGCAATGCGACATGTACCAAAAAGGCCGTCAGAACAAATGACACACATACCAAATGGCTGCCAAACTAAATAATCCAAATCCTAATGGAAGAGAATTAGTTAATCAATTTATTTCTGAACTAAAGAACATGTGGCTTGAACTTAAACTAGTTCACGGAAATCCAAGGCATAGCCAAAGCCAAGGTTCAGTAGAACGTGCCAATGATGTTCAAAACATGATGATGACATGGATACAGACAGATGAATCAACTCATTGGGCTGAGAGTCTTATGAAAAACCGAAATTTTCATCAAGCAATCCAACAATCGCCATACAAAGCCTAGATTGGATGCAAAACAAAAGTGGGACTTAGCACTTCAAATCTACCAAGAGATGCTCTCGATAATTTAGTTACCGAGGAAGATCTTGAGAACATTGAACAAGAAATGGAGGTTGCCATAAATGCAACGACATCCTCAGCTAACACATATGCTGCCATGGCAGAACGTCCAGACCAGCTGCGTGACAATAATATGGCCAATAGATTATGTTTAGTTCGTGAAAAATATTGTAGTGCAGCCCATTCTTGTGGTTCCTATGGCAACGATGTCCATGCAATATGCGGAATATCCAATAAAGCAGACGAAGGTTACCAATGTAAAATTACTTGCAGATTATGTCACAATAAACAAGTAATCACGGACAACAGGTCTGTATCTCATACTAGAATTGCAAACTCAAGGTGTCAAGACGCTAAAAAAATCAGATACAAATTTTAAACAAGCTGAAGTGAGAGATAATGTTCGCAACCGTATACCAGATGTTGACAGAGGTCACGGTGATCCCCGAAGCGTCATTGCAGTTGTCGTGAGCATTGAGGGAGTTTTCTACAAGCTAGGAACGGAACATGGTGTTCTAAACAACTATATGCTAGAAGTGAGTTTTCAATTCTTCTCGAAAAACTGATTTCATTGTCGTCCATTGGCACCAGTGGCGGATTAAAGGGGGAGCTGAAAGGGCTGCAGCCATGGGCCCCCGATTTATAGGGGCCTCCAAATTTACTGCCCAATTGTTGATTTTCCCTATAAAAACTAAAGTTTTAGTGTGTGCATCACAAGCTTCAATTTTTTAAATCAAAATTTCTAATACTTGCATACACTTACGTATAATTATCACCTGCTATCACCTTCTACCCAGACATTTATAATATAACAATGGTGGTAGAGTATCTAACTTAGTATCAGTTTTTCCTTCTTCCTTACTTTCATCATCGCTATAGATTTTAGAACCATAAAAAGTAAACTCACCTCATGTGCTTTTTACTTGCATCGCAGTGACTTATTTTAACTAGTTGGATAGGATTTATTTATATAACAACAAAAAATTGTGTATAGTTGTCACTGTCTTTACTCTTTTGCATAACGTAAATAAAATATTAAATAAACGCAATTGAGACTATAGTACAATAAAATAATTTGAAAGCTTCTGTCACTTACTTTAATTAATAATCAATAAAGACTTAATTATGAATCCTTACAGTATAAAAAAAACCTAAATCTGCTCATGATCTTCTAATTCGGACTTTGGCCGTTCCTCCCTAGCCAGATGATCTTCTAATTAGGAATTTGGCTGGTCCACCATGGCCAGCGGATTGGCCGGCCAAAGGCCGAAATCAAGAAAAGTTTCGGACTTTGAGCGGTCAATGGGAGACGATATTGGCCAATGCGCCAGCTTCGGGCTTTGACCGTAACATAAATATTTCTAAAAAAAAATTAAAAGCATAGGTATGTATTTTACTTGGGCATAAAATGCTCTGTGAATCATATGTTGACACAAAGTTCCAGTTTGAATAAAGTTTGTCAAAGAAAACTAATAATATTTGCATCCTAAAAATATATTTTTAAAAGACACCATATATAATTAAAACCTACCAGGGTCATCAATATGCTCCATGATCCAATTCATAGCCACTTCAACACCTTGGTTTTTTGTGTGGAAAACTGCTTTAGTGCAGGCTTCTTTTGGGAAGCCCATATCAACTAATTGGCCAACTGTCACTTCACAGATTTCCATAGGAGGTTCTATAATGATTATAGTTAAATGCTATACGATGCAAAATGATAGCTTTCTTAAATAAAATTATTTAAATATTTAGTAAGTTAATAAAATATGTAAGAAATTTCTCTGACATAGTTTTGTGGTGGATGGAAACAATTAAATTGCAGTGTAGAAGAACCATTTCCAATGATATCAATGCTATTTTTCATCCAGCATACTTCAAATATGCACGTCAATTATGATTGTACAGTTCCATCACTATTTGATGGAATGACTTGGATTTGAGAGTTGTATTCTCTTCATTATGTTTGCTGTGAAAATCTGCTTTGTAAGCTCTAAAATGCATAGGCCATAAATGCATAGCAGCATAGTTCAGCCTGCTTTCCTGTTTGTGTTTTAGCAGAAAATATCCTTGTGGTTGGCAAAAGCACCAATAGTGCATATCCTTTATAACTAAATCATTGGACACCATTTCATTTTGAACAGGCTCTTTTGCCAGGGTAAAACCATTCTGCAATTACCTGCTTATAAAGATCTAGATGTCATACTTTTCTGGTTATAAGTTCTGTAATAGGACCAATTAAAATTTATCTGCCTTTTGCTACTGTTTCCCATTTTTCAAAACATGAGTGTTTATGGCACATTTTTATTGAACAGCAAGCAAGTCATATTTGTTGTTGGTTGTGATATTACAGTCAGTGTTCAAGAACAATTCAAAATATATAAGGCCAAAACTATAAGAATATTGACCCTTCATTTCCTGGTTATTTTAGCAGTTATAAGTAAAAGTGTTATTTATTCTTCTTTTTTTGTCACCAGATGTTTTCCACCCACACAATGTACTTATAGGGTAGCGATTTTTAACACCCTAATAAAATTAGTTTTAAGTGCCATCATAGCTTTTTCTAATTTTTTCTAATTTAAGATCTTAAGCATTTTGACTACTTTTACCATGTTTGGCCCATGAAAGTAAGTATTAAACACCAAAAAAGGGTTGAAAACAAGTTTCTGTTGTCATGTAAACCCAAAAAAAAAAGCTCAGCCATTTTTAATTTTTCTGTACTTTTAAAACACTAAGGCCTTTTTATTTATGAGCTTATAGCAATCAAATCAACATGGCTTATATTTCAGTATATTATTATTTTCTTTAAACAAAAATGGACAAAGTATCAACAAGTGCAAGAAACCCAATGTGATGAAAAATCAGGATTTTGGTGAATTATTGATGTGCACATCCCCTTAATTTTTATATTTGAATTGTTACTAATTTTGTTAGATGTGATAGTCTTACCTTAATCATGTCAACATTAAAAAATGAATACTGTGGGATAAATTTACAGAAAAAAGGATTATGTTAATTTAAACTACATCTTTGTACTTTACTCTTTGTCTTTATAATACCTGGGGGAGAATCTCCAACTGGCAGCTCTTCTTCTCCATATTGTAAACCATGGCCTCTCAATGTGTTCAAGTCAATTTCATCAGGAACTTGCAAGGATATGTCTAAAACATTAATAAAATGACTTATGTAGTTGCATTATCAAATGTTATAACATGTTTTAGAATATAATAAAAAAATTTCTGACATGTTATAAAATTTGAACTACGTGGATAAAAGCATGTGCAAAAGCTAATTTGGCTAGTCACACCACCTGTATCATGAAATTTAACTAAGTCGCTTCTACTTTCTGTGTTCATTTTCATTTCTCATAAAAAATAATAAAAACTCTTTAAATAATAACAAAAAATACAGCTATACATAAAATCTAAGTTAGTAATTAATGCATTAGAAATAGAAAACATTTTACTACACTTTATAATGAAAACCCAAGCTGTAATAATGTACTAAGGTATAGAAAAAAGCTAAAGTTATGGTACATTCAAAATGCATCACCTTTTTTCCCTCTTAAATAGGCATTAAATGTCTAAAGCCAGACAGGTGGCAGCAGGATGAAGCATCAATGTTGCAAACAGTAGGATATATGATTTGGGACATTGATTGGGTAATGACATATGCACTAGAAAGGCTAGAAAGCAGGTAGCCTTCTTATGAGTCTACATTATCTTATTTGTATGACTTTATAAGTATTTTTCCTTAATTAGCCAACATTCAAACAGATAAGTTAATGAATATGATAATCAAAATATGAGATAAAAACAGGAATGAGGACTTGAAAAAGTGATTATGAAAATGAATAGAGAAAGTATAATTATAAAACAACAAATAAAACAACTTTATAACAGTAAGGGGTCATTCATTTATGATGTCCACAATAATTTGGAATTTTAGACCCCCCCTCTCCACACACAGCTCCACTTTTGACCCCCCTCCCCAATATGGACGTCCACATTTTTTTTAGTAAATCTCTCAAACCATGCTGCCAAATTACTAACTCAGTAACATGTAAAGTGTACCTTGCTATGCTATTAATTGATAGTTTAATATAGGAATTTGATATTTTCTGTAATGTCTCTTACTAGGCCTAAATTAGTAAATATTAAAAGTAGAGTGTTGAAAAAAATAAGTATATTTTAAATGACTTGGTATAAATCAAGCCTTAAATGTTTAGCGCTTGGTTTATTTCAGTGTTTTTTGCCATACGAAACAGAAAATATATTTTTTGTATTTAATAGGAATATTTTCTGCACTCAGAGACGTCTTATAATATTAACAGTCATAACATTTGTAAGTAGTGGCCTCCTCAGGTTCATGACCTCAATCTGTTTACTTTATTTCTCATTTTATACCAAAAACTTTCCCATTGCATAAGGCATAGTTAGCGTTCATGCAAATTCTGAAAATGTCATATTACTTTTACTGAATCTTACAGATATTTCTCGCTACACATGTTTCTATAACAAACCACATCTCCCTCTTTTCTCGTGAGCCCTATTGAACATGAAGCACATTCCACATGCGCTGTTATTTAAATTTCTAAGTTTAAAACATGGTTACTTTAAGTTTGAAAAAAAAAAAACTAAATCTACATTGTCTTAGGCTTTGACTCATGATTTGGTTGTACCATCTATCAGGGCCTAGGTCTAGATCTAATTGTTTATAAACTTACGTTTCAATTCTTTAAAATGTTCAAAGATCAACTTGAAATACCATGAATTTTTAAAAGAAAATTGCCCTGGTCATTGCCCCCCCCCCCCCCCCCCTGTTTGTAAAAAATTCACCCATTGAGCCGGTGTATATTCAAACACAAGAACTGCCGATTTGATCCATACATTTGATATGCAGTTTTTTAACTTATCTTTTAATTTTTTAGATGTTAGTATTTTGAAGTTAAATTCAACATGTGGACATCCACATGACCCTCCCCCCCCCCCCCCCCCCCCCCCCCCCCCATGGATGTCATAAATGGATGACCCCTAAGCTTTTAAATGCACTGAAAATAAAATAAATAAAATTAATTTGCATCATTTAATACCATTGGTTGTTCATGAAAAAAACAGATTAAACTGATCAATTCTTTTTAAAGAATGCAAATAATTTCAATTTTTCAGTGTATTTAAAATTAATTAATTCTTTAAAAATTAATTAAGCATCCAATTAAGTGAAATTTGATGTCAGATTGTATTCACATCTGATCTTGAAGCATGTGAATACATTTCAAAGACATTTTTCAGTTAGAAGCTGTTGAAATATCACTTGTCCGTTTTGATAGATGATGCCAGACAGAGTGAGCAAGTTAATAAAAACTCGTTCAAAGATTAGTAATGTAAGGTTAAACAAATAGAAGAAATTTTATACCTAATTTTCGGGGAACCCAATCATCTCCAATAGTAAATTTTTTAATTTGTACCATTAGATAGTCTGGAAATGAGGATAATCTTGTGGTTCTTAAAAAAAAAATGAAATAAAACAAAGATTTTTTTTCACCAAATAGCATAAAAATATGTATGTTAAAATCATCAATTAGCTTTTGATCTCCAAAAATTAAGTGAACTCTTTTCAGTCGACCCTGAGAAGAGTTCACCGTCGACTGTATTCTGACCAGGCAACCTCTAGTATTTTATTTTGTTATTTCCCCTTGTTTTAAAATCTTGTTATCTCCCCTTTTATTGTTAGTTATTTTAAAAGCATTTATTTAATTGAATTTGTATATCTAATTTAATTAAAACTTAGATATTCATACATTGTCATGCAATATCTACCATTGTGCTGAATTTAACCTCAATCAGACAATGGGAAGTGGGTTTAATTAATATTCCAAGATTTGCAGAGCCACAGACAAACATAAATGAATAAGTTGAATAAAAGCCTTTTAAAAGCAATCATCACATTACAAAGATGAAAATCACTAGAATCTGCAATAAAGGCTTCTGATTAATATTAATACAATAAAATTCTAATTGTTTAAAATAATTAGCCTTTAAAATAAAAATCTCACTTTAAAGCTGTAGTCTTTCCATTTATTGCAGAACTGTAGAATTCTTCAACTGGTTCTACATCTTGAAAAGCTGCCAGACATTCAGACAGAGGAATTATTGGGCGTACAATATTCTTCAAGTCACTGTAAACAATAATTGAGATAAAAACAATACTGGATGTAGTAAAATTATATATACATGCATATTACACACTCTTACCCTGTATATTTGAATAACTATTTCATTATAGACAAGAGCAACCTGTCTATTGGGGTTGTCACATTCAGGAAAAATCATAATACTCTTTTAAGTTAGCTCAAAGATAACCTTTATCTTTTTTTATTTAAGTATAAATAATAATTTAAAAAAAAAAAGCAACTAATAATAAACTACGCCGATTTGGGGTTCTTTAATAAAAGATTTTGCTGGACATCAATATGAATATGTAAATGACCAAGAAAATAAGTGGATATGGATAAGGCTAAAGTTAAAGAAATGGTGGAGGTTAGAGTTATGCTTGGTCAACTTAGAGTATTATAATAAACGAGCTGACCCTTTCTCTCCCCCCCCCCCCCCCCATGCCGTAAGCATACGCCGTAATTTAGTTGTTTTATTTGCTACTTTTCAGTAATTCAGAATTTGTGAATTCGACACTACCCTTTCTTCCCCCCCCCTCCCCCATGAAAGCCGCCGTCTATGACGACAGTTTACAGACAAAAATGAAAAGATCAAGGAGAACTTAGGTTTCAAATTGTTTAAAAGCTGAATTATCTGCCCTTAATAGGTGTCACATTCTAAACATTCGGGGTGAACCACAGCTCACCAGACTGGTAGGGTGTGGGTGGTAGCGATAAGCCTAGAGAGCGGGGAAGGAACAGCTAAGCCTTTACTTGGTGGTTACTTGTATGGTCCCCACGTAGAGAATTATACATATATAGATTTCTATTACAATTCTATTACAATCGCTTAAAACAATCTTCTAAGCTTAAAACAATCTTCTAAAATTCAAAATAATAGCTTAAGTTCAGTTTCTAACATTACTTTTTCAAAATGCAAAAGTGTGACGTCAGATTACCTGAACCCCTCCCCCTCACACTTTTGAAATTAATAACTTCTCTACTAAAACTATTTTTTAATAACTAATTATGCTTATTTTTTAAAAAATTACAAAAAATAAATTATGACACCTATAGTAGATCTGGCTATATCAAAATACAGAATTACCATAGGTAAGCAGTCTGTAACTTATTTATAAGCGATCCAAAGAAAATATTTTTTGTAGAAATAATTTTTAGTATCCAGAACCAGTAATGCATTTAAAAGTAAGAACCTATGTTATAAATATGTAATTATACATAGCTGGTTCTACAATTACTAGCCATTGGTACCCGTTACACGTAAATTATAGGCCTATATATTTTAATGTTATACATGTTTGAGAAAAATATTTTATAAAATAGTTATTAGTCAAAACGCAATGTACTTGACTACACATTGAACGATATTAGTGACAAAGCAAATACATAACTAAATAGCTAAAAATCCTATGCATTTAAAATAACACAGGCTACCAATACCTATTAGAAAGATTAAAACCAAATTAAATACATAATTAGTCAAAAGAACACTATAGTAAATGCACACTTATTAAGAGACTTAACTGATTGCGTTATAACCTGGCTATTCAATGGTCATTATGTTTTTTAAAAAAAAATTAATTTGTATTAGTTTGACAGAGAAAATTGTATACACTTCATAGCTTACATCTTGATATGTAGATTTATAGAATCTAGATCTAAATCAAATTTAATGAAATAGTTCATTTCCTTATATTATAAAATTGGAAGATGACGCAATTAGTGTTGTGTTCTTTCCATAGTTTAACCCTTTATCTACTGACGGTACTTATAAGTACCACTTTAACTAAGTGCCTGTATTATTTTTAATTTAAGACGAATTTTAAAAATTATTGATGTAATTGATAGTATCATCTCCCCTGAGTCACAGGTAGGTGGAGGGATCATGTTTTTTTGAAAATTTCTGGTGTGGCGCCATTTTCAATCTCTACTTGTATCGGTAGTTCACAATCGTTCTGTACATATCTCACACGTGTTCCTGATTTCCCTTTGTTTTACCTTATTCTTCAAGTTTTCAACACCGAATATTTTTTATTGGTATCTTCAATAGTTAGGCAAATGCGTTTAACTTCTAGTTATACAATTTTTATCAAATTGTCTTTGTAATAGATTGATGTTTACAAGTGGACTTATAAGTACCGTCAGGGCACACTGACATTTTTTTAGGATTTCTTGGAAATTACAGATTTTCGATTTGGAGTGACATAAATATTATTTTGTTAATTAATTATCGAAATGTATTTTAAAAAATATATTTATGCATTTATAAGAAAGTTAGCATAGAGTTTTCCTCAGATATAATTAATTGCAGATTTCTAGTAGTAAAAGAATAACAAGAATAGAGGTGGCAGTTGCAGGTTTGTTTACTAGATTTAGTATACGCTATTTGTATACCAAAGTCTAGTTCTAGAAGTAAGATTTGTAAGTTATATTTGTAGCAAAAAACTGTCTTGCCTACAATAGCAAGCGTGTACGTAATGTATACATGTAGACTAGTAATAGTCCATACATCTGCATGTAGTATAGATCGTTTTGTAATTTTGAATCAGTAAACACAAAACAGTAGGCCACTACGGCTATTCCAAACACATTGAGCTCACTTCTATTTATGAACTTTACACTGTAGTGTAGACTTGTCATAACATTCTAGTAGGCTACAATTATACTAGCATTACTAGTAGTAGTGTACTGAATGACTAGGATTTCGTTTTCAAAATATTTGTTTATGCGGCTCATTGTAATGGCTATTGGAAGCCTCTAGCAAAAGCAGGTTCAGTCGGCAACTGTTGCCACACCAGAAAGACGACAGACAAGAATGTCTCAGGAATGAGGAATGAGGGAGCATGTGTTTGAGGTCTAAGATATATTCCGATAGAAAAACCAATAAAAATCGTACTAAAAATATACTTTTGTGCTGGGTTTATGAGTGAAAATTACAAAAAAATTATTGTTATAATGATTGCCATGTTATTAGTAAGTTGTATTGTTTTTTCCTGTTTTGTAATTTTTTTATTTTTTTGGAAAAAATGTCCTACATTCCTGACGGTACTTATAAGTACCAATATATGTTTAAAAATTTATGAAACAAAATTTCCTTCCACATATGCTTTAAATGTGCCAAAAGCAATATGATAACACATTGTTTCAGAAAAAATGTCATTCGGAACCTAATTCTGTAAATAAAGGGTTAAACATATGGCATGTGACATCATTGTTTATTGCATTCTCGTCACAACTATACACTTTTTATAAAAATGTGTTTCTACATTCTAATATGCCTTTATTTTTATTTTCCTTCTTTGAATAAAATTTTGTTTATACATTTAAAACATCTAACATATTATTTTCAACAAAAGGCCGTATCAAGTTCTCTATATATCACTGAAGATACCGATATCACAGCCTGTGAAAATATTTTGTGGACAGAGAGAGAGAGAGAGAGAGAGAGAGAGAGAGAGAAGTGCACACATGGGCTTTTATATATTAGATCGCGATATGGTAGAGCTACACACAAAAAAAAAACACTTGATTATTAAATAAAACTATGTAGGTTAAATAGATAACCATGCTAGTCTTGAATTCTCACCCTTAGTATCTTAACAGTCGTTTTTCAAAACTGTAACATACAAATATGTAATCAATAATCACGATCAACATAACTGAGAGGACTTAACAAGGTTTTTTCATAGAGAGCTTTAACAAAGGTTTAATTCCAAGCTGACTGCAAAGTGCAAATACTTCTGCACTCATGCACTGATCATTAATACATATGTACATTGTTTGCTACAACTTCTATAACAATTTTGATCCCCCCCCTCTATCCTTGGTGAGTGTTCAAGGCATTAACATAATATATGGCCTAGAGCTAGTTAAAGTTGAAATTATTCACAAAAGAAATAGAGTTAAAGAACACACTACACGCTAAATCTGCAATTTTTTGGTAGTGTAAAGTATTTTAAGCTACACATAATATACTATTTAGTTTAAAATCATCGCTAAAACCCAAACCATCCTTGAACTTGCGGGGTTTCTACTTTTAACTATACCCATATATTGTTGACATTGGTGACAAAATGTATGATAACGTGACCTTTTACATTTAACAGATTAAAATATTGAGCTATTCTAAAAAGATTATAAAAATATGTTGTAATTAATTTTTTAAGTACCCTCTGTCAGAAAGGAAAAAAAAAATTAGACTCTGCTAAAAGGTGAAGTGGGATTTCATTTATCAGACAAAGCTGAAAAATTATATACAACAGAGTTATAGCTCTAATAATAAATACATACTGAAGAAATAAACTATTAAAACTAGACTAACAAACTCGTTTATTGAATAGCATGTTTTTATTTTTTTTCAACTGAACTATCAAATCAAGCCTCTAAAACTTGCTAACATCAATTTTAAAAAGCTTGGTGGTGCGTTGTTAACGAAGAGAAGTGCCATGTTTTTTTTACCGGGCCTAGAGCTATTTTAGTGATAGCTATACTATAAAATGAAAAGCTACTACAATTGGGCAGTGCTGGCAAAAACAGCGGCTTTTTACAGCCGTTAGAAAAACCTACTTTAATTAAATTCCAAACATGTTTTAAGGAAAAATTTTAATGTCTTATTACAACTATAACAGGGATGTGACCAGACCAGGAAAAAAATTAGGAAATTTTCTTTTGACAAGAACTCAAAATGTTTTATCTATTTTTTTTATCGCAGTTAAAGCAGTCTCACACCGTTACTGTTACTAATTATTTGTTTAATGAACCTAATATTTTAAATAAAAGAAGTTTATGTTACTCTGAAATAACATTGAAAGTCTTGTCTTATTGCAATTTAATGTTTACCTTATAAATAACTTTTTAAATTTATTTTTTACAATGTAACAAAAGTGGCAATTAAGTTTTATTTTAACATTAAACTAATTTAAAATGTACTAATCTAGTCTGATTGTGCTCTTGTTTTCAATTATGTCTTATATTCTTTTAAAGATTGGCATGGCAAAATGTTAGTCTTAACTGTAAAGAGCTTTGATTTAGATTAATTGTAATTTGAAAGTTTTGGTTAATGCGATGGAAATAAAATGACAGCAAGGTGAGGAAATGGGGGTGGGAGGGAAGGGGCAATTCTACTGTGGATTGAGAGTTCAGTTATGTCTTAGATCTGTACTATCATACTTAACTTTATTTCAAGCTCTGTTGCTGACACTCCAATGAAATTGCAAGATCTTGCATTTTCTCTCATTTTTTAGATAATTTATTGTTGAACTGTAAGCGCTATGGCTACAGAATTTTCGTTTGAAATAATAAAGTTGCGTGCCATTTCTATGTGTTGATTTAATTTGATTACTCTTTCTATTATTTATCTAGGCCTATATTGAAGAAACTTCAGGTCAAAGTCATGTTTGCTTTAAAAAATGTTCTATAACATGTTAAGTAAGTGTGAACGATAAAGTATACGTTCTGTGAATAAAATGTTTCAGAATAAAAGTAAATTTTGGTGGGCTTTGTGTTCTAGAAATGTATAGTATACCTGTCGTAAGTGTAAATGCGGTATAACTGGTGCTGTTCGACTCGAGGCTGCGCCCAAAAACAAAATTTTGTGTTCTGTTTATCATTAGCAATTTATGATGAAAAGTCAATTTGAAAATTCCATTCTTCATTGTTCTACTTAAGCCACTTTCCTATGTCTGAAAGAAGGATTTACCTTCTGAGAAGACTAAGTATAATTATTGGCGATAATTCATGTACAAAGGTTCATTAAATAATAAAATTAACTTTGTTGTTTTATTCATATTCTTTATATTTAGAGTGAGAGTCTGTTGTGTGTATATTTAGCTCAGGGCACAGGGATTTTAGGGTCAGGAGCTAAGGGTTCATAAGGTTAAAGATAAAAAAAGCAATTTAAAATTTTTGTTGCTCACGCTGATGATGTTTTCTCATTTGTTTTCAACTCATTGTAGGCACGTACTTCATCTGCAAATATATTTATAGCTGTTATTTTAAAGTTATTTGTATTTTTAAATATACATTTAAAAAGTAATTTGATTATTAAGTCTTGTAACAATTTTTATGTGTGGCAATTACTTTTATTTGAACTTTTAAAAAATAGATAATATGTAGGTATGAAAATTTCAAAATAGTTCCAATTTTTACAAAAAGTTGTTTTTTTCCCCACATAAATTAAAAAAAAATACATTTCATATTTACTAATATTAGAATATATCAAATAGGTTTTAAGACACATCAAGTAATTTTTTCTATTAATACTTAAGTTTGTTGTAAATGGATTTTAAGCAGAATAGATAAGGCATACCAAAGCCCAATAAGCCAGGCCAAAATAATGTGCCTCGAGTAGACATTTAAAAATCAAAATGGGTGGATTGAAGTTTAAAAACATAGCTTTATATGATTAACTATCATTATTAAATAGAAAGACAATGATCACATTTATTAATTGTTGCTCCCAAAACTCAAAATGAGTGGATTAAAGGTTAAATACATAACTTTATATGATTAACTATCATTATGAAATAGAAAGGCTATGATCACCTTTATTAATTGCTGCTTCCAAAGGAACAGGTAATGACAAGCAATAATCTTCTCGCTTGGAGTAACGAACTTTTTTGGATGAAGAGCACATTATCCTTTCTTCCACTTGAAACCGAAAGCAGTCGCAAGGATTATCATTTCCTCTGCTGTTTTTCTATCAAGATAAAAGGCGATGACTGAAAGAGGCTCTTAAAAGTTTCATTAAGAAATTTCTATATGCACTTGTTTACTTTCTAAAAATTGATTATTGTCATTACTAAACAGTTTCTCAAAAAGTATAGTGTCAGCTAGATTCAGAAAAGAGCTTTTAAGTTTTCAGTCTGCTTGACTCCTCAGCTCAAAGTTATAAGACATAGCAAGGTCACCCAGCCATGATGGGTGTGCAGTGGTGGCACTCATTTTTTAAGTGAATCATGAATATCAATCACCACATTTAACTAATCTTGAACCCAAAGTTTGAAATTTTTTAAACCCTGTTGTTGAACAGAAATGTTATAAAACAGACAATTATTTCATCACTTTCCAAGACATCTGAAGCATTATATTCAGTCCTTTATTTAACAATCTTTAAAAAAATATTTAAAGGATTGGGCATTTAACCAAATTAGTTCTTGATGAATTTTTGAACACCCTCCCTCCCCCCCCACTACAACTGTATGTAAACCCCAAAATGAAACAACTGCTTATCTTACTCATACTATTATTTTATAGGGACAGTAGTCACAAATGTCTTCCCCTTTCTTGTGATGATCCAGTGGAAATTGTAAGATCATGTGGTGGAATTTAAGAAACAATTTATTTCACAAAGAATTAACTTAAAACAAATACGCTATTACTTATGTTTGTAGTGGCTCATAGAGGATGTGACAGCATTAACTTTCATTTAATTTTCTTCACTGACACAAGAAATGATGGCATTAGATAAATTTCATTGTTTTTTTTTCTTGATTACTAGCAAAGTAACTTGTTACAGGTTACAACTTATCATTTATATAAGCCAGAGATAAATATTAAACTAGACAGTCTTCATATGTTATCCAAGTATTATTTTAATACTTCGGTTCTTAACTTTTTTGAGTGGCGACCCCTTTTATAAAAAGTGACCCATGACCCTCATAAAATAAATAAAATACTTAAAAAAAACTTTTTAAAAAACCACGTTTTTCTTGTGGACTAAAAAGTAGAAAATAAATTTTTCTTTTGTGCTTCCTCGAGCTGTGCAGGTTCTTGTGATGACTGACAAAAAACGTGAGTACGTTCACCATCAAATTTCCCGACCCATCTGCCCGACCCACGTTTTTTGTCAGTCATCACAAGAACCTGCACAGCTCGAGGAAGCACAAAAGAAAAATTTATTTTCTACTTTTTAGTCCACAAGAAAAACGTGGTTTTTTAAAAACTTTTTTTTAAGTATTTTATTTTCTCCTTTTTAGTCCGTTGCTACACATGAAAAACGTGGTTTTTAAAAAGTTTTATATATAGTTTATTTTCTACTTTATCTAATGACTTGATTAAGTATGACTTGACTAAGTGTTTATAAATACACGGACTAAAAATCTTGAGCGACCGATACGCTTTAAACAGAGAGAGCGTAATTTAATTAAGCCTACATGCCGTGACCAGGATTCGAACCTGGGTTGTCGCGGCCACAACGCGAAGTACTAACCACTATACGATCATGGCCAGCGCGCTCACATCGATTGGGGCCGAAGTAACTGTGTCAATAGGCCTCCAGTCTTGTCGGTATGTTTAGAAATCATGTCCTCGATTTTATGGTCCTTGGGGCGTAATTTAATTAAGCTAATTTAGGTCTCTAATTGCTAGTTTTTATGATTGCATCTGAAATTGTTAGGCGAAAATAGCCTGCATTCCAAATTTCAGATCTCTAGAGCAATCAGAAGTGGGCTAATTTTCGTTGTCAATTTTAACAACAAACCCACAAACAAACAAACGCGAAGCTGAGTTAAGAAAAACGTGTTAAAAAGTTGAAAGTAGTAAGAAATTAATAAACACCAAAATAAGATTTTCAAGTATAATTTAAATGCAAATTATTTTTGATAACTCTTTTATGCGATGGGTAAAATGACATGCTATTCACGAGCCTCAACATTCGCAGTTGTTTTTGTTAACGCTAACATCATGTCATTCTCTATTTATTTTTTATTTTGTTTTTAATTTAAAAAGTGTTGAAAATCCACTCTCGCAAAGATATGTAGTAACAAAAAAGGAACTAAAACTCGAAGGGCAATCAATGAATAGTTGTGAATGGTGCATTTTCAAGAGATTCAAGATACCCAGAAATCTCTTACCAATTTTTATTTATCTCACTATCAGATTCATCTACCGAATTGCAGTTTTTCAAATGTGGCAATATTTCCAAGATTTATTTTTCTTCGCTAATTTTCTAGCTTTGATACAAATTATAACAGACTGTATTTGGTGAATTGCATTTGGAGTGAAACGTGTGTGAGAGTTGAATATCTGGCCAAAGGAAGTGAATGCATGAGCGATCAATCACTGTATTTTGCATGCTTTTTAGAGATCACTCACTGACTGAAGGGAGTGAATGTAGGGGTATATAATTGGGGAAAATGAGATGTTCGACGGACCACCTAGATCACGGGTTCCCAAACTGGCGGTCGTGAAGGGCTTTCTGGTAGACAAAACCTTAGCAATGAAAAAAAAACATAATTATTTAGAAGAATATCTGAAATTCGGTCTTACTAACATCACTGGAAATGGAATAGAAAAGAAACAATGCGTACTGTGCAAAGGTGTTCTCATCAACGAGTCTATGAAACCTTAAAAACTAATTTTGAGACGAGTTATTCGGAACACACCAAAAAGATAGGGAGTTCTTTCGTCTGCATGAAGTTAGTTGCAAACGTCAGATACTTGATCGAACAGGAAGTTTTCACCCAGCATTAGTGTAAGCATCATACGAAGTTGCCTTAAAAAAAACTCTCACACAATAGGAGAAAATCTCATCAAACCCTCAATGTTGAAGATGGTGAAATTAATTTTTGGGAATTTCAGTGCAGTAAAGATGGAACAGATATTTCTGTCTAATAATTCTATTCAGCGACTTATAGCAGACATGTCTGTAGATGTTAAAGGATACATTTTAAATTAAATCAAACTTTCACCATTGTTTGCTTTTCGAGTTGATGAATCAACTGACGGGAATTCGTGTTAGCAGTTGCTTGTCTTTGTGAAATATATTCATTCAGATGAAAGTAAAGACAAGAAAGAAGAGTTGCTGTTATGTGAAGATATCATAGAGAAAATAAATACGTCTTTTTTTTGACTGGATGATTAAAAATGGGAAAACGGCTGTGGGGTTCGTACGGATTGTGCGCCATCTATGTTTGGGTCAAGATCTTGCTTTCAGAAAACAGTAAAAGATTTAGATCCCTAACAAAGGGGAATCCATAGCATGATTCACCGTTATGCCATCGCCAGCAAGACTCTTCCGATTCCATTGCTTGCTAACGCTAATGAAAGTCGTAAATTATATTAAACCTGGAGCCCTAAATACCCGTCTGTTTCAAGAACTGTGCAAAGATATGAATAAAGATCACTAGGTAATGCTTTTCTACATTACAGTACGCTGTAAGTGCACCCCCGGAGAAAAAAGGTTGGAAGAAACACTGGTTACCTATCCTCTGCTTCCCTTGATGTTGTGAGCATTCACAATGAATTACAAGATGTATTCTTAAATGTGCTGAATGATTCCGCGTCAGTATGCACCATTCATACCCAAACGTTAAATTGATTGTCTTTTGAGTTTTAGTTCCTTTTGTGTCTGCATATCTTTGCCATATCTTTGCGAGAATAGATTTTCAACACTTCTCCAATTAAAAACAAAGATATAAAATAAATGTTAAGAATGACATGAGGTTAAAGTTAAAAAACCTCAACCGCGAATGTCGAGGCTATTTAATAGCATGCAGTTTTACTTATCATATTAAAACAGTTATCAATAATAATTCATAATGAAAGTCTACTAGAAAATCTAATTTTAGTAATGATTAATTTCCTTACTAATTTCGACTTTTTAATTCTATGGGGGTCGCGGGTCACTTAATTTTTATAAAAGGGGGTCGCCACTAGAAAAAGTTTGGGAACCACTGTCCTAGATGAATGCAATGTGTGTTGACAGTTAGGAAATAAAGTTATAAAATGAACAGTAGTCTATCGTCTATTCTTGAAAGAAGGAACTCGCAATAACAACGTATTGTTACATTGGTGTCAGAAGTGGTCAACATATTGTTACATTGGTTTCATAAGTGGTCAACATATTGTAACATTGGTGTCAGAAGTGGTAAGTATATTGTTACATTAAACAACAATGTATTGTTACACAAATGTCCCAAGATTATCATGCAAAGAGATATTTGTTTTTTCCCCTGATGCTTCAAGTTAAGCCTATTTTCCTGTTCGAAAATATCTGCTAGGTATGCTACTCTCTCCAACCACTCTTTTTCGTTGAAGTATATCTAAATGTCTGGTTACCATGCACTTCCAAGAACAACTTGATTTCATCTTTCAATTCGAAAACATGATTCATAACATTTCCTTTTGACAGCCAGTGTAAATGTAGTGTAGAAAAGCAGAACTTTGTGATAAGTGCCTCTCTAAAGAATCAAGCTGGTGAGGGCTTTGTTGTGAATCATGAGGTGGATTCCCCTTGATTGGGGAGCTAAAATCTTTTACTTTTTTCAGATTTTGACTCAAGCATTGATGGTGCACCGTACAAACCTCACAGCCGTTTTCCCAGTTTAATCCGCCAGTTTCAAAAACATTTTTTTTTCTGCATATCTTCACTTTTTGTAGTAGTTTCAAGCACTAAAAAATAGAAACACTTCTTTGATATCATCTGAATGAATATATTTCACAAAGACAACTGTGCACAAGCTCATGCCTGTTGTTTCATCAACTTGAAAAGCAAACAGTGAAAGCTTGATTACATTCAAAATTTGTTCTAACATCTACAGACATGTCTGCTATAAGATATTAGACAAATATTTGTTACATCTTTATTGCACTGGAATCCCCAAGAATTATTTCACAATCTTCAACATGCAGCGTTTCATTTTCTCCTATTTCTAATGCGACTTCATATGATGCTTGCACTAACGTTGTGTTTCCTTTGTAAAAATTTCCTGTTCGATGAAGTCTCTGACGTTTGCAACTAGCTTCATGCCAAACAAAGAACATCTTATAATTTTGGTGTGTTCCGAATGACTCATCTCAAAATGACTAAGAACAATCTGAAAACTTCAATACTCTGTTCATGTTTTTAAAATGTTAGCCAGGAAAACAAACAATTGCAGGAACCAGGAGATTTCACATGAAAAAGCTAAATCGGCATAAGTAATAAAATAAAAAATTAGAAAAGTATATAGAAGTATTTCCAGGAATCACACACTCTTTCGTTGTTTAATATAAAATTATTCAAACTTCAAGACACCATTAAAGATTTAAAATAATAAATTGTTGAGAGAATTTTTTGTTTTGTTTAGCATACCAGTTGGCCACCCCTGCGGATCACAACCCACAGTTTGTGGAACGAATGATTTAATACATATTATTCAGATCTACCTCTAGACTAGATGTCAGTAGACTAAGGCCAGTAACCGTCTAAAATCCATTAATGAATGATAAAAATTACTGCCTGCTGGATAAAGACTACTGCATTCAAATTTTATACCAATCAGATTTCCCCCTATTTACCAAGTATCAGTGTCAGCTAAGAAAGCAAAAGTAACAGAGCAATGAATGATGTTAAAAAAATGTTAAATTTTAGCTTTGCACAGTGATGGATATTGTAACATTAAGGAGTGCAAGAATGGCGGAAAGTGCAGTAAGTGGTATAAATGCTCGTAGTCTTTTTAATAAAAATGATTTCTAGATTCTGAAAATGATTTAAGTTTAAACAGTGATGATTATTTTTTTAAAACTCCAAACCCGGTGATTTTAAATACTAATTTTGTGGATTCGGAAAGTGATAAAATATGTTTCTCAAATCTGGAATTTCGGATATCCATGAAAAGTGGTATCCCTGGACTTATGTTATTTTCATAGCTAAAAAGAAACAGATGAATTCCATCAAACTCAATGAAACATCATGATTTTTATTTTTTTATTTTCTAAATCCCACATATACATAATTGCATAACTCTAGTAATTTAGCTAAATTCAATAATTTCAACAAAATTTAACAAGACTATATTTTGCACGATAAAAAATATATATAATAATCCATTGAAATTTATTTTAATCCAATTAAAAGCAAAGATTTAGCTCATAGATCTAGTGTTAATAAACAGAATACCTCAATCATTGAAATGATATGAAGAAAGTATTCCTGGGCATCTTGCTGCTTTTTAGTGGAAAATTCTGGATGTCCTTTACCAACCAAACTTTTAAACATCTGTGGTTTAATACCAAGTGGTGGCTGATTGAAATATATAGGATATTAACATTATTGAGTATAATTAATAAAAACATAATTGATAAAGAAATGAGTTAAGTACTATAAAGTGTATTAAGAAACAAAATGTAAGTATTATATTTATAAAGCTGATTGAGGAATAAATCTATGGGCCCAGAAGGTGCTTGTGATATCACACTAGTAATGACTATAAAAACAGGCAAATAAAAAGTGATAAGCATTTGTGTTTTAAAAAGGACAAAAATAGCATAATAAAATGAAATAAACCGGGAGTGATCTCCCCTTAACTTTCTAGAATATTCTAATATAAAACAACAGGGGATGGGAACTCGGGATAGAGTTATGATTTTTAATCCATTTTAAATACTTAAACTTTTTAAAATAGAATAGAATCTCATAGAAAATAGAATTGCGCACCAAGCGAACGCCGAAGAAAGATGTGTATAATAGTGCGGAATATTATTAGTACTTTATAAATTAACATGCGTTTTTTGAGAAATCGGAAAGAGTGAAAATTACTACTTCCGGTCAACGGAAATTACTCAAAATTTGACAGAGGGTAGAGAATTAGATCTTTTACTTAAATGTGAAATTTCATTTATCCATCTGAAATAGTACTCGTTATAGGCTTTTGAAAAATTCAAAGTAGAAAAAGTACCACTTCCAGTTATCGGAAATCGCTCAAAAGTTGAAATGGATCTATGATTTTGATAAAATACTTATAAATGAAATTTCATCAACCTAGCTGTAACGGTACTCAAGTTATCGTGTTTACACACATACACACAGACAAGAATGCAAAATTATGTTTTTCCGTATCAGTGAGGTGTAAAATGTCAAGATTTATAAAAATCTCGATTTTTTTTTTGTGCACGATTACAAGACTTTCTCTATACTTCGTATGTATGAGAAAGTAAAAATGAGTCCTACTCTAGAACTAATCGTTAACAATAGACTCCTCAATTGAGTATCACTGTTGTTATAACTCGACCAATACTTTTTAAAAAATCTGGCATACAAAATTTTTTTAATAAATCAGGCGAATATTTATTTATTCTGAAATGATGCAAGTTATTTCTGAAGAATATAAACACAGATAAGCAGATGATGATCTAAACTTTTATGCAAAAGAATGCAATAATTAGCATTGTAACAAAACATTCCTTTCCACCTAAGTAGTGAATGATGTCTTTAAAATTTAAACAAGTTATTAAACAAGTCTAGTGACAATTTTAGCGCAATTTCCTTATTTACGCGTCATCACGTTCAATAGATGCGTCATCACGTTCCATGGCTGCGCCATCACGTTCAGTAGGCGCGCAATGGTTTTTAGTCATATAACTCTATTGTTTTTAAAAAATGTGAAAAAATTATTAGGCCTAGCGAAACAAAACCTTGTAATTGTAACTCCCTATCACTCTCATATAAATTATAAATAAATTAATAGGGTACAAAAATAACGTTTGAATTAATAAGTAAATAAGTAATAAAAAAAATAAACTTATAGCAAGATCTAAAAGATAGCGAAAAATAGATATCTATATATTGCTATATAGTACTGTTGTGTATTATGTATAATGTAAGTTTAAAATTTTTTTTGTGACGGAACGAAAGGATATTTCTGAAAACTTTCTTCGGCAATATTGTTCTAAATTATGGCAGGAATCGATTGTTAAATGTTTCAAGTCACTAAGTGGTCTGGTTGCCGAGATATGGGCAAATGTCATGTGACATGGGACTGGGTAGTTTCGTGCCTAGCCGTGTCAGTCACACGCAAGGCTGCTGTCTGTGGACACGGTGACAGTACCAAGATGTAGACCTAATGAGGGTAGTGTGGGTATATAAATTATGTTTATTGTTAGAATACTTATTTGTGTATTCCTGCTAGTGCTGCATGTGCACACTAGTTAGGTTGAGTATTTATTTAAGTATTTATTGTTGTACTACTTATTGGTACTTGTTGGCAGTACTGTGTACTGACCGCAACATTTTATTGTACTTGTGTATGTTTGTAGCCTACACGTGGTGTTATCATGAATGTAACTTTTTCTTTACATTTGTTTTAGGGCTACAGTTTTTGGTTTTCCTGTTCGTTTGGTATTCTTCTGTAATCGTCATACTACTGTGTTTTCTGCATCGCCGTCATGGCTCGATGTAGTGAATAAATCCAGTACTTGACAACAATTTTCGGTGTCAGTGTGTCCTTACTCTCAGGGTCAGCCCGTCTTAACCACAACACCTCAGTGGGTAAAAGCATTCCCACTGAGTGAGGGTTACAGACACTTGCCCGAATCCAACAGATGCCAGAATGGGCACTTGCCAGAATGCAACAAACTCTTAACCACACACAAGTTAAAAAAAAACAGTCAATGAAATGGTGACTGTAGTTCAATAGGAAGTGAAATAACTGTTCAAAAATGTAAAATAAATACCAGAATATATCTTTGTGACTCTGGAAGCTGCTGTCTTTCCTCCATTAAATCTCTAAGGAAAAAGCAAGCATAACTTAAAGCAAACTGGTAAGATATGCAAAAACTTTACAAGTATAAATACAATAATGTTTAAATTATTAAGCATAGAAACTTTTGTGTTAAATAATGGTAAACTTCAAGATGTGTCAAAATCTATACTTTCAGTTGGTTTGAATGTTTTAAAAATCATATTATTAATATACAAACAAGGTATAAAAGAAAGTTAAATATTTAGAATAACTGTTTGAAAGTGAATGAGAAATCTTAAATTTCTATAGAAATATAATACACTATAGACATTGTATAGGCTATACTACTTAAAATTTAAATGTTTCTTACATCTTTTTTGAATATTCTCCAGATAATATTCCAAAGGCTAACTTAGACCTAAAATGTAAATTGAGAGTTAAGAGAGTAAAATTCTTGGTAAGAATACACGTGTATATATATATATATATATATATATATATATATATATATATATATATATATATATATATATATATATATATATTAGCTAATTGCGCAAGTAAATAAAATGATTTTAAAGGCTCTAAACCTTATGTAAACAAAAAAATCAAATTCAAATTAAGTCTTTCGCGTTGCTATGTTAACCGTTTAAAAAACAATAGAACACTATTAGGATTCCAATTAAAAATGCCCTCCTTAATAACAGCAGTTTTTGACAGTTACCAACGTATAATTTTTATTTCAACTTTTCACTTTTACTTGTTTTTGTGAATCTCATATTGAGTTTAATAGGTGAGTTTTAAAAAAAACTATTTAAAATAGCAAAACATTGAGACTAACTGTTTTTAGTGGGAATATCTTCATTATTTATTAAACTTTCTAAGTAGCATATTTATTTTAGGTTCATAAGACTATGAATAATGTCTCACAAACTAGGCACGATATTAGTGGTATCAAAACTACATTTTCATGTTCCTTCATTTTCTAGGAATTAGGTCACCAAATTTAATATCTTCAGCCCAGTTTTCATTTAGACAGATAAATAAACACTTAATAGGTATATACAGTCTATATATAACAAATTACATTTGCACTGGTACACTGCCACACTGGTACTGAACAATTTTATTTAAAAGAACTATAAGGTTGGAAATGGGGTCATAAGTAGTGATAAAATAAATTATAATTAGTTAATGATAAGGCTTTGTTGGGTTTTTAAATATAAAAAAAAAAAAAAAACAACAGAAAAACCTAATTTTTAATTATAGAAGCACTTTATATAATGAAAATATCTAATTTCATTATTATACTTAGCCCCATTTCTATTTCAGAGAGATAAATAAACACTAAACAGATAAAAAGATAAATATAAAAATCTATAAATAAAACACTGGATTTCACCAGCGATGAGCGCAGTGCAAAATATTTAAATTATGAATATCTAAAAATCGAAGAAAATGAGGCTGCCTAAATAGCCTATAAAAATATTTGAAAAAATGAAAACAGTTTGAATCGTCATGCAATTTAGCCAGTAAGTGCATGGCGACCTTCCTTTTGTTATAATCCTCAAGTTTGGCGAAAATGAATTGAATCAATACATGTTTAGTTTTCTATAACATATGTACGGTGCAACTTTTGCCTTTATACACACACACACACATATATATATACATTTATTATTAGAAACATCTCCTATAACAAGTTTCTGCGTTTCTGCTTATGCCTGTGCATGCCAGTGATTACATTTGTTAATTCACACGTTTTGCTTTACTGAGAATTTATGATTCTGTGTTGTATATCAAAGTAAAAAATACCATTTGCATCGATATTTCAATTAATGTGTAATAGCAAAAATAATGTTTACAATATTACACGTATAAAATTATAGCGTTGAACTGATGAAATTACAATTAGGATTTATTTAGTTTGTCATCCCCCACGAACACAAATGTGAATACTTCCGTTTTGGTTTAGTTAAATTAAAATCATAGTTTAAAAAAATACTTATTGTAGTGAATATGTGGTAGTCAATTCATGATTTAAGCTATGATTTAAGAAATACAGAAATAAACCGGGAGTGATCTCCCCTAAACTTTCTTGAATATTCTTATTTAACACTAGGGGGATGGCAACTCGGGATATAGAGATGATTTTTGATCCATTTTTAATTAATTAAATTTTTTAAAATAGAATAGAATCTTGTAGAAAAAAAATTGCACTCTAAGTTTACGCAAAAAAATCTGTGTATAATAGTGCGGAATATTATTAGTACTTTATAAATTCACATGTTTTTTTTTAGAAATCGGAAATAGCGTAAGTTACTACTTCCAGTCAGAGAATTAGATCATTTACTTACATGTGAAATTTCTTTTATGTATCTGAACAGTACTCAAGTTATAGGCTTTTGAAAAATTGAAAGTAGAATATGTACCACTTCTAGTAACCGGAAATCACTGAAAAGTTGATGCAGAACTACAAACTTGATATAATACTTGTATATGAAATTTCATCAACCTAGCTGTAACGGTACTAAAGTTATCATGTTCACAGACACAGATACGCACAGACATGATTGCAAAACTATGTTTTTCCAACTCAGGGAAGTGTAAAATGTCGAGATTTGCAAAAAATCTTTTTTTTTTTTTTTTGCACAGTAACAATACTTTCTCTATACTCTGTATACAAGAAAGTAAAAAGGGTTCTCTTCCATTTTTAGTAAGCCATAAAACATAAAAGAATTCATGTACTTTCAAGAGAGAATTTTCATTAGAAAATTAAGTAACTTATGGATGAAATTTGACAGGTCAAACGTTCTGTGATATTTGTGTGATTGTGCTTTAATCTTGAATGGTTTATTAAAATAATGAATTTTCTTTAATACACTCTATATGTAATCCACCTATTTTGATTTTTTAATGCCTGCCATAGGCATATTACTCGGTTTAGTGCTTTTCACCTTGGAATATACCCAGTAAACTATAGGAGCACTAAAATGCATTTATACTAGAAATTGGGGATATTTTCTTAGCCAACTTAATTGAGTTTCAAATACAACAGGACCTGCAATACGGAAAGCCTTCAGTGTATTTCACCCTCCAGTATAGTGAGGTGGAAAACATCTAGGCGCCCGCCCAGGTGTCAGGGGCGTTGCGGGGCGCTCTTGGGAACCGCCTGTTACACTACAGCAGAGGTGCTGGACACGGCCCCTGGTTTGGTTTAATCATTGAATGTAGTTTGCCAACTTGACCCTATAGTGGGGTACTCACAGGGGTGCTCAGAGCACCAAATCACACAGGAGAACGTGAATGATTCGATTTAGTGTACAACTGTAGTAGCCCATTGTATCCAGTTTATAACTCTCTTTAAAACAAACACAGGCACTTTAGCATTCATCCTGCCAGAATGTTCCAGACAGACAGACGGAATAGCAAAACTATTATAATGACGAGAAAAATGGCCCGTTGAGGAAGGATACACCGGGCGCTAGGTTGATAGTGCTGTCTCTTTTCTCTAAACTAAAACCAACCCACCCCCCCCCCCCCCCACACACACCACCCCCACCCCCACTCCCCACCCACCCCCACCCCCACCCCCAAAAAAACATGTCTACCGTCCCATTCAGCGAAATATAATTATATACTTTTTCCAGTGTCCGCCCCCTCACCGAAAATTCTACCCCCGCCCCCGAAAATTTCAAGTACCCCACCCCTCTCCGGGGAGGAAAAAGTCTGAAAGAAACACTGGTGTCGCGCTTAGCCACTACGCGAAGAATTGCATTAAAGAAATTGCGAGAAAACCACTTTTTAGATTAGACACATTAATTAGGCGGTAATTTTATTATAGAGTATCGATGAGGAAACCACCCCACCCCCCCCACCCCACCCCCCCACCCCCCACTCCCAAAAAAAACATGTCTACCGTCCCATTCAACGAAATATAATTATATACTTTTTCCAGTGTCCGCCCCCCTCCCCGAAAATTCTCCCCCCGCCCCCGAAAATTTCAATTACCCCCACCCCTTTCCGGGGAGGAAAAAGTCTGAAAGAAACACTGGTGTCGCGCTTAGCCACTACCCGAAGAATTGCATTAAAGAAATTGCAAGAAAACCACTTTTGAGATTAGACACATTAATTAGGCGGTAATTTTATTATAGAGTATCGATGAAGAAATTTCTTTTGAGTTGGGGAGGGGGAGGGGCTCAGACGTTCTTACGCGGGGGGTGGGGCTTCGCCCCTACCCGAAGAATTGTATGCAAGAAACTCTTCACGCAAACCACTTAGATTAGACAACATTTCCTCTTTATTCAATATTTACGCCAGAATCAATGACGTCATTATATTACTGTGAGATTATTTTCTACTCTGTGCGCTAAATGTGTCGACGTCATACTTCGTTTTTCGAATTACTATGCATGTTTTTATTTTCCTTATGTTTTCTCTAGAGCGTTCTTGTCAGACAGATAGATAGATAGATAGATAGATAGATAGATAGACAGACAGCGAAACTATTATTATAGATGGATATATATAATAGCAGACTTTGATAAATGTTAATTTATTTATGTCAAAATTGAAGAATTACTGTATTGACAAACACCTTTAAGACAAGTTAAAAATGAATCAGTTTAGCAGAACGACACATTTACAGTGCAGTTAAATAAACCTTAAAACAATGTTTAAAGAAAACATGGTAAATTATATAAATGAACTTACATTTGGGTGTTAAAATCTGTTGCAGGATTCTCTGGACACTTAAGTACTATTTGATCACAGGCATTATAGTATCTTTTTATGAAAAAGAGTTTTAAAACAACAGAAATTAAACTTTCAGTAAATAAAACTTGCTGTACTGTATTGAGGTTTATAAATAATATGTGAAAGAGTTTTGAACGAAAATAGTGAAGTGTTTTTCAATTATATGCTTTTTATTTGATTATGATTTTTCACCTGCTATTACCCTAACCCCCAACCCACAGTAGAATTGTCCCTCCCCTTACACCTCCACTCCATGGGACCCGTTTCACCAACTTGCTATCAACCTGTTTTAGAAGTCATAAGAATATTGAAGATTCAAAGCTGATTTAAGTGGAGATAATAAAAACAATCACCAACCTTTTCTGAAAATCATGAATGCTAAATAGCACCTGCATCACTGAATTTAAATAACAACTGTTTCCAAGGTTATGCATGCCAGTATAGCCTGGTCCATTAAGGGGTTTCAAATTGCTACTTGATTCTTGAATAACATCCCATTCTCCGATCTTTTGGTTGATATCTATTTCTAATTCTGTCATGGTTTTATCTGTCTATAAAAAGATTTCTTAAAAAATATATTTATGAAGTTTTTTTCAATATGTAGCAAACCTGTTATTAATTATACATTCCAAAATTGTGCAATTTAAAATCCAAAATTTTTGTGGACGTCATAAATGGATGACCCCTAACTAACAACTCCCCTTATGAACTTCATTTAGTCGTAGACTGAACCCTGGAGAAACAGAAAAAAGTTTTCCCTTTGTAAACCTTAAAAGCCTAATAGTATGACTACAGAATGTTTTATAAAGCTATTTTTAAGAGAGGTAGCTTCCTAAAAGAATAATTTTGCAGGGGAATTTTATACTGATTTGAGGAAAAAAAAATTCTTCTTACTATACATTAGAGCAATGATGTTAAACTAAAAATCATTTATAAATCATAGATAACTTAAGAACATTTTAGTGTAATTATTTTAGTACTTGACATGCGTAATACAGTCCTATTTACATTCTGCACAATAATATGACACATGTTTCTTAAGTTTCTCTAAATAATGGAAACAAATTGTTTATAAAGGGTGCACCTAAATTTTAATCTTAGTGTGTAACAAGGTATGCGACATTTAAGAAGGCCTAAAATCGATACTTACTTTTTTATTTTAAATTATTTAGATGAGGGATCAAATTAAGTTTTGTAATTTTAGTACTATTTTTCAAACCAATCAAAATATATGAAAGATAAAATGTCACTTTTAAGTGGTTATTTTTACATCATTATTAAGTGTTTGAAAGCAAAATAAAATATTTTCAGTTGCAGTATTGGTAGTGTCGAATTCACAAATTATGAATGACTGAGGCTGCTTTCAAGGGAGGGGGGGGGGGGGGGGGTCGAATTCACAAATTATGAATTGCTGATAAGCAGAAAATAAAACAACTAAATAGCTGCATATGCTACGTTCGTACAAAATAAACCAGCATTTTGAGTTTTGAACAAAAAAACCTATGAGCATAAATCAGCTTATTGCATGTTAAGGATTGCTATATTTTATATACTGCTTTAAATTTTTTTGTTTAATTTGTTTGCTTAATTTTACATAGAACATGAAGAAAATATTAAATAAATGCACATTCTTAAAAAATATTAAACTGCTCAGTGTCAATTGTTATTGTTTCCTAGAAACGTAGAGGATATTAATAAAAATGAGTAACAATAGTGTGAACAAAATTAATTTAATGATAAGTTTTTTGCAGGGGAAATAATTTAAAATTACTCTGAAGCTAACTTTGCTATATTAGCTTTAAAAAAGGGCCATTGTTTAACCTAAATGCATTTAACACACACTTATTGGGGAACGGATATTTTATGAGGTCTAATTAAACGTTACTGTGCATAGTGTTGGTCACTTACCAGTGATTTGGTTTTTTTGGGTTTTGTTTATTTAAACAGTTTTCTAAAATGCAAAATAACTGCTAAAATTCAGTTTCTAACATTACTTTTTAAAATGCAATAGTTTGACACCACACTAACTGAATCCCCCTCATCACACGTCACAAAACTATGACCTCCCTCACACACACACTTGTGTGCGTGACGTCAATTATAAAAAAGCCCACATAGAATTTTTTCGATCCACAAACAAAACACAGTCGGGTCGGAGTTCCCATCAGCTTTGAAATCAGTTTGCCTATACTATAGCATAAGTCATAGCGAAACATAGCTACTTGATATAGACTCTGACGCTATTTTTATTTTTCCCCAAATAAGCAGTACAAAACACGTACTTGAGGGTATGGCAAGGTCACAAGAGACACCGTTGCTACAAGGACGGGTGAGTTAGTCTAGTACTCAAGTCATTTTTTGCAAGGATTTCAATATTAACTTGAGATAACGAAAAAAATTAGAATTACAAGCATAGGGGAACGGATGATTTGGGCGAGTTAAAATCAGAGGCGTATAAATAAAATAAAATGGTAGTTTTAAGCTGCATTATGAAATCAAACTTTAAAAATGACTTATACTTGACTTTATGGACTGCTTTCCTGAATTGGTGTGTGTGTGGGGGGGGGGGGGGGGGAACGACACTTTTTTGCCAACGTTTATAACAAAGTTTACATAGTGTGTGTTTGGGTATTGAAAAATTGATATTTAGCCCCAGGTGCCGGAATGGGTTGCTACGCCTCTGGTTAAAATACCGGTAGATAAATTAGGCTATAGCTAGACTACCGCGAGATTCACTGTAAAGAACTAAGGCTTGGGAGATGTAAGTTTTATTTAAAGAGGGGCATTATTTTTGCTAACTTTTCCCCGTTTTCTTTTAAAATAAAGATTTAACTGAAAATATCAGCGGAAAATATGGACTAAAAAAATTAGCGTTCTGAAAAATTCGGAAATCCACAGAAATTCTGAAACTTGACCTACATTTAAACTGAATCTAGCACTGTCAGACCTAGCACAAGTAAAGAAATGTGTGTGTACAATTGCTTGTTGACCTAAGTACTGTAATACTCTACTTAAATAGGAATACATGGAAAGGGTGTGTGGGCTGTTTTCATAGAAGTTATTTCCGTTGGGTTTTTTTTTGTCAAATTTTTAAAACTTCATCAGTGGGAAAGTTTGGAAAAAGTGAAATCAGTGGAGGAAAATTGCAGCTGAAACGGAAAAAATTGGAAAAGTCTCATCCCTGTTAAGAAATAGCTACTTAGTTGTGTTTGTTCCTTACTCTTGTTTACCAACCCTCCGAGATAAAATAGATGGGTGAAAGGGGGGGGGGGGGGGGTCGTAACTATATATGTATAAATATAAATATATAAATAAATATACCTATAAATAAATAAATATATATATAGACCTATATATATATATATATATATAGACCTATATATAGACCTATATATATATATATATATATATATATATATATATATATATATATATATATATATATATATATATATATATATATATAGACCTATATATATATATAAAGAATATTGACTGTTAGCTGGTTTAAACATAAATGTCCAGATTAAAATCTTGCTGAAATCTAATATATAGTTGAAATTTGTGAAAATCATTATTGTTATAGCTTATATAAAACATAAAATATCAACTTTAATAATTAGTTACCTTTTCTAAAGCTGATATGTTGATACCAAAGTGAGCCAAATGCTTAGATAAGTATGGGTCTTCAACCAAATCATCCTCAGGGTATGAATAAACATCTGTAACACATACACTCAATATACATACACAAAATATTAAAGATAATGTAAGCACAGAAGTGGATCTAGATGTATTCTATTCTCTAAACTAATGCGTTTCTAGTTTATCACTAAAGCACTGATATTAAGGTATATAGCTGAATCTCGGCAATAGTGTTGACCATAATTTCGCTCATATAAAGAAGTCATAGAAACAGCTGAACTCTACTTCATCTGTCTCACATAAACGGCTGTAGCATCAGACCACACTGTCACTTTATTTGTTCTTTTATTCCACTTGAATGAATACATTTCACAAAGACAAGCCACTATGAACATCTGCTGATTGAAAATAAAACAATAGTGAAACCATGATTTTTTTCAGAATATGCTGAAAGATATTTGTTGCATCTTTACATCCCTGGAATTTCTTTCAGTTCACCTTCTTCAACATGTAGAGATTGATGAGCTTTCCTCCAATTGAATGAGGGTTATCTTGGTTGGCACTCTTTAATGCCACTTCATTTGATGCTTGCACTAATTGTGTGCTCTCTTGTTGAGAATTTCTTATACTAGTTTTATGCTGATGAAATAGGTCCAAAAAATTTCTAGTGTATTCTGAATGATTCATCACTAAGTGACATTTGAGTACTGAAGGGTTCACAGAGACATGACCGAGAATAACTTAGCACAATATATGTTTTGCTAGGTTTTAATGTAATTTTCAGTTTAAATTGGCAACCTCCTTAAAAAATCCTTCATGACAACATTTTTTAAAATGCTACTATTATTGTAGATGTACGGATATTTAATATATTAAAAAATCAAGAAGATGGTTAAAGGATATAAACAAAATAAAATAAGCCAAGAAGAGACAGGGTCATACATTTATATATAATGTTCACACAAGGCAAAGGGGTCTGACAAAAATCAACTTTAGTGAACATGTGAGGACTGAGCAGGGATGGTTCAGGTCTATATAGATGTCAACAAATAAAATTTAAAATCAAACTTCTTATTCAACAAAACATTTGACTTTGATGTAAGCCCACTAAGTGCTTGGGTTTAATTTTAGTAAAAAGCTCAGCATAAAATTAGTTTTCAAGTACTTATATTAATAAAGGGTCAACGCTAACTATGTACTGCAGACAGACCAGCAAGCCCTAAAATATCATAACAACTGTAGGTTCAATAATGCCAGACTTGCATGCTGGTCCTTATTGTTATAAATTTACAATAGAACATATTGTAAACATATTGCTACATATTGTGTAGCAACAAATATATGATACACAATTTGAAAAACAGTTTTGCTTTAATAATATGATTAGTTTTACTATACGTGTCACAGTAATATGGGATGGTGTAGTCTAGTTGTAAAGAACTAGACTGCTGACCCGACTAAAAACCATAGAGCGCCGATTGAACGTGATGAAGTGCTTTTGACGTAGAGCCCCTCTCGCTCCATGCCCAACACAATGCGTGTGGATAGAACTGCCTACTAATTTGATCTGAATTTTAATTAATTCATAAAAAATTAATTAGGCATCCAATTAAGTCAAATTTAATTTCAGATTGCATTGTCTTCATGTCTTGACCCACGTACCAATTACGAACCGTATCTGTCAGATGTGTACGAATTTTCGCTCCGGCGTTTCGATATAGACAGACAGAGGAAGTGAGTGTAATAAAAGCTTGTAAAAAGAATAAGAATGAAGAAAGAAGTTGCAGGATAGTTTGCTAGGTTTAGTAAAGTTTATTTGTATGCAATTCTATTTGTTAGTAATATTTGTTAGTTATATGTATTACAGAACATTGTCTTGCCTACAATAACTAGTATGTACATAATGTATACCTGTAAATATAGATCTTTATGGTAAATTTTAATCAGGAGACATAAAACAGTAGACCACTAAGCCTATTCTAAATACATGGAGCTCACTTCTAGTTATGGATTTTACACTGTAGTGTACGCCTGTCATAACATTCTAGTAGACTAAAATAATACTAGTATTATTAGTAGTACTGAATGACTAGGCTTTTGTTTTCAAAATATTTTGCTTATGCTGCTCTTTGTAATTTCTATTGGAAGCTTCCAGCAAAAGCAGGTTCAGTCCAGCAACTGTTACCACACCAGAAAGACCACAGACAAGAATGTGTCACTAAGGAATGTCGGCACCTTTTTCTGTGTTTGATACATTCGGAAGATGTTCTAAGATGTGTTGCCATAGAAAATCCAGTCTAAAACCATACTCGAAATATAGTTTTGAGTTGTGTTTATGGGTGAAAATGATAAAAATGACTGTTATAACAATTGTCATCTTAGTGATTAATAAATTTTACAGTTCATTCCTGTTTTTTAAAGTTTTTATTTTTTGGAAAAAAATGTCCAACATTCCTGATGGTACTTATTAATACCAATATATATTTGGGCCATTAAAAATTAACCAAACAAAATTTCCTTTAAATTTGCCAAAAGCAATAAAATAACACATTGTTTGAAACAAAATTTCATTCAGAACTTAATTCAGTAAATAAAGGGCTAAGCTAAGTAGTTGGAGGTTGTGGCTGATAGTGAGAGAGTAGCTGAAGTTAACTGAGTAACAGTTGAATAGGCTTGGAAAGTAGGGTTGCAGAATAATAGATGAAAGTGAAGTTAGCGTTGGTAAAAGGTTGATGTTTTGTGTTTATAATAAATAAATTGTTGATATTGCTTAATTTGGAAGTGGTTTTAGTTGTTTATACTTCACACTGAGGAAAGTACCTGTAAGCTAATGACAAACAATCCCCGTACAGATATAAAGAGCCCCATCACACCACAGGCATTCCCTTTTCTACTGAATGGCAGGTGCTCACTGGGAGATCAACACTAACTTCTTGTAACTAGTATTAAATATTATGACACTCAAGATATACAATATTTTAACAGTTGGATAATGGATAATTTAGAACCTCCAATTCTAAGTCAACCAAAAGTATTTCTCAACACAATATTTCTTCTTCTTCTTCGTTCTTAATTTTTAGTGTTGGAAGGGATCGAGCCTTATCTGCCAGAGGGTTCGAACTCGAGACTATTTGGATTTAACAACCATGAACTTTGCATCCAACACAATTAAGTATACTTGTCAACTGGTTATGCACCATTGAGGCCATTGACTCAGATTTCAGCCTGCTTTTCTTTTTGGATTTGCTTCCTTGGCCTTTGTCCACCCAAGAACAAACTACAAGAAGGGAGTTGTTTGATTTTGGAGTTGTCTCTCCTAGAGCCTCATCTGTCAGCGTGTAGGAACATGTGACTTTTCGGTTTAGCAACCATGAGCTTTACCGACTTGACCACGCCGACCCCTTCAACACACTATAATATACTTATTTCTTTCTCTCTGGAAGACAGAAAACAGAACTTGTGATCTGAGAATGTAACAAATCACAACCTTAGCCGACATGTACATATTTTACTTACCACCACTATTTGCAGTGATTGTACCAAGCTTAACAGCTAATGGGTAATTCAATTCTTTATAATGATCAACTGCATGATTGTTTCCACCTGATCCATCAAAAAATCTACGTCCACATAGAATAGAGCCATCTGTAAGATTCATCCACAGATTAGTAGTCAGTTCACACTTCTCACATTTCCAACCTGAAGGTGGTATCTTTTTTCCAATGTCTAACTGAAGGAGATGCTCTGCATATCTTAGAGTATAAACAATATAAACTAATCAATATAGAAAAATGACAAGCAAGCATTTTAAATTATCCTAATATATAAAAGCCCGTGTGCACACTTTTCTCTCTCTGTCCGTAATATTTTTTGGAGATGCTCTGCATATCTTAGAGTGTAAACAATATAAACTGATCAATATAGAAACATCACAAGCATGCATTTTAAATTATCCTAATATATAAAAGCCCCTGTGCACACTTTTCTCTCTCTGTCCGTAATATTTTTTGGCAACGTCGTCGTTGAAAATAATATGGTGAAATTTTATTTCAAGGAGGAATATTCGAATGTAGAAACAGATTTCTAACTAACGCGTTTATTGTCGTGACAAGATTGCAATAAATAATGACGTCACATGACACATGCTTAAACTAAAGAAAGAACACAAAACTAATGGCATCATCTTCCAATTTTAAATATAAAGAAATGAACTATTTCATTCAAATTTGATTTAGATCTACTTAGGAGTCATCCATAAATGACCTCACGCTTTTTTTTTACGCTTCCCCCCCCCCCCTCCCCTCCATCACATGTTGTCACAAACAGCCAGACCCCCCCCCCCCCTAAAATGACATCACACCTCAGCCTACAACCCTCCTCAAAATTGCAGTTAAATTTTTTTAAAACATCGATATTTTTCTAAAATCTTGTATGAACTCTGTCAAAATAGAGTATTTTAATCAATTCCTATTACAATTTATTAAAAAAGTTTTCTAAAACGCGAAATAACGTCTAAAATCTGTTTTCTAACATTGCTTTTTTATAATGCAAAAGTGTGACGTCGCCCCCCCCCCCCCCCCTCCGAGTGTGACGTCATTTATGGACGAAACCTTATCAAAACCTACGCCAATAATGAGTTTCTATACTAAACTATTTCAGGCCTTGATTATTTTATATACATCTTTGTTTGCTTAGCTATGGAAATGGCTTATTTTAGATAAAACTTCATTTGAAATAATAGGGCCTATTCGTATAACTTAAGTTTCCTGAACACCCCATTTATTCAACACCTAAGCTAAAGTGCCTAAATAGCTGAGACGAGTGTAATAGTTACTATGCCGGTGGTATGGATTTGAGACACACCAAGTCAATCTTAAATATTTTTTTTTCAATTTTTACTTTATTATTTTACTTAATTAATTATTTCTGCTTATAGCTGAGAAACTTGTCTGCAATAAAAAATTGCTGGTATGATATCCATCCTCAACCCCCAACCCTGTGCAGGGGTCACTGAGAGTTTACATTAGTGTAGACATCAGCAGGCCTGTATAATACGTCATGGCGTAAACTGGACATGACTTCTAATTTTCCCACTATCAAGCAGTTTCAAACACGTACTCGGGAGTCAAGGTGAGTGTACACAAGCTTACATAAACACAAGGAGGGGTAGGTTAGTCTAGTCCTAATTGTCAGTATTTGCTAAGATTTCAAAATTAATGAGGTTTTGAAATTAAATGGAAAGTAGCTATGGTTTAATCCTTTGAGCTAGACGAGCTGGAAAACTGGTTTCAGAAACTGGCATATTTGTCCCAAATGCTGGTTTTCAAGCTCGATGATTAGCATCACAGTCCTATTATTTAATATAATATTTAATATATAATAAAACGGCGGACATGTCTTTTTAGTGCAGGGTTATGATTCTAAAACCAAATTTTGGGGAAAGTTAAAAGTGAAGTGTTCGCATTTTGTAAAATATACTGACAACAAAAAAAATCTGTTATTTTTTATTATTCGGTTATAATTATTATTATTATAATAACAGTAAATAGGTACGCTATTCTGGTTTTGTCAATATGTTTAGTAAGTACATAAAACAATTATTTTATTAGTGCAAACTTTTGTTGTACAAATAATTTTTTTTTCAAACAATGCCGCCTAAACAAAAAAACTGAGCCACAGCCATCAAAAAACTGAGTAACAGCCATCGACTGTGTTTGTTTTATATATTACGGTCAAAGCCCAAAGTGCGGCCAAAGCCTGCATTGGCTGGCTCTCTTGGCAAAAGCCTGAAGAGCTTAAATTTGAAGGCGTATTTCGTACATTGGCCGGCCTTGTGCGCACTGACCTGGATGTCCCGACCAATGTCCTATCTAGACTAAGTTGTGATTGCGTTTTCATTATTCTGGGTGCGGTTTCATTGTAGCGTATTGTTTGGCTCTTGTTTCTATAGCATTCTATATGCATTGAGACATGGATGAAAAGGGCCGTCAGACCAAGAGACAGACATACCAGATGGCTGCCAAAATATTTCTGGAACTAATGAACATGTGGCCTGAACTTAAACTAGTTCACGGAAATCCAAGGCATAGCCCAACCCAAGGTTCACTAGAACGTGCCAATTAAGATGTTCAAAACATGATGATGACATGGATGCAGACAAATCAATCAGCTCATTGGGCTGAGAGTCTCAAATTCATTCAATTTATGAAAAACCGTTCTTTTCATAAAGTATACCAACAATCGCCATACGGAGCCTTGTTTGGATGTAAAGCAAAAGTGAAACTTAACACTTCAAATCTACCAAGACAGGCTCTTGATAATTTAGTTACTGAGGAAGATCTTGAGAACATTGAACAAGAAATGGAGTGTCGGAACGTCCAGACCAGTTGCGTGACAAAAATATGGCCAACAGATTATGTGTAGTTTGTGAAAAACATTGTAGTGCAGCCCATTATTGTGGATCCTGTGGCAACAATGTCCATGCAATTTGCGGAATGGCCAATAAACTAGACAAAGGGTACAGAGGGAACATTACTTGCAGATTCTGTCACAATAAACAAGAAATCATGGACAACAGGTCAGCAGCTCATACTAGCTTGCAAACTCAAGGTGCTAAGATTCTAACAAATTAAGCTACAAATTTTAAACAAACTGAAGTGGAAGATAATGACAGAGGTCGCGGTGATACCCGAAGCTCATTGCAGTTAACATGAGCGTCGAGGGCGCTTTCTACAAGCTAGGAGCGGAACATGGTGTTCTAAAACAACAGTATGCTCCTCCGTTGGCACTGAGAAAAAAATCACAACGAAGCATCGCATCTTCACAATAACAAACCGGTGGCCAAGGCTACACTCGTTGCAATTGCACAACCAAGTGCTCAACAAATCGCTGCAAGTGTAAAAATAACAAGCTACTATGTAATTTTAAAAGCCATAAAAGTTCAACTTTTTGTAACGAGAGATAATATTGATTGAGACTATAGTAAAATAATTTGAATGCTTCTTAATAATCAATAACGATTTAATTTCGTGATCCTTACGGTATAAGAAAAACCCAAAATCTGCTCATGATTCAGACTGGCCGGTCGTCCCTAGCCAGATGATCTTCTAATTCGGACTTGGCAGGCCAATGCGTGCTTTGGCCGACATTGGGCTTTGACCATAATAGTTATATTGTTATGTTCACACATTGTAAAAAAACATAAAGAACTTCAGAATCTTGCTGAATTGTTACTTGATCCTGAGCCTGGATACTAAATTTGGCTTCACTATCTTAAACGGTTCAAAAGTTGTAGACTTTTGAAGAAATCCAAGATGGCGGCCATCCGCCATCTTGGATTTGTGAAAAAAAAACAAAGAATTTCTGAATCTTGCTGAATTGTTGTTTGATACTGAGCCTTGATATCAAATGTGGCTTGATTATCTCAAAAGTTATAGGCAAAGTTAGAAGCAGATATATGAAAAAGTGTTTTGGGCCTGGGAGCTTTGGAAATGGAAGAAATTAGGCCAGGGAGGCCCGGGCTCAAAGGGTTAATGGAAGGTGAATTAAAAATACAGGTACATACATTATACATAGACAACCATTCACACCCTAATTATTTGTTATGACTGCCTGCTGGCAAACTCAGACAAAAATAATGAAAAATAGCAGGTAAAAACTGAGAGGTCAACATCTCCATTCACTATCATTCTTTCATTAAATGACAATTTAAACTAACCCTAATACATTCACACTGTCAGTCACAACAAAACAACTGAGGTCTAAAATTCAAACGCTTTAAGTCTGAAATTCACCTTTCTAAATTGTAGACTTTTTCCAGACGTTCCAGGCTGCATACAAACCATGAGAAACAAGGTTTTTTTTTTAATTTTTCGTAGGAAACAAGCAAATGGGCCATTTGGTATCTAGACTTCAGGCCAATGACTTTCATTTATATTAGAACCCATCATGACTTCATTACAGATTTTATGTAACTAAAAAAAGATATTAACATTTAACAGAACTCACTTTGAAACTTTCAACTTTTCCCCTTCCCAAGTTCCTGCCATTGCAGCCACCTCTTCCTTCTTTGATGCATCTTCAGACATTAATATCATACTAGCCAATGCTTGAACCTTTAAATATTTAAAAAACTGTGCACACAAATTCGTAATATCTATCTGTCTGTCTGTCTGTCTGTCTATCTATCTATCTATCTAGCAATGTATGTGTGTCTGTCTGTTTGTCTTTTAAGCATTACTACACCTCTTATCACATCGCCGTGAAACTTTGGGAAGTTGTTGAGAATATTCCTGGGGAGGTTACTGCGAAAAAAAAATTTCAAATTTGCAGGGCATGATTTATTTTTTCTCTATATACGGTATATAAAAAATAAAAGTCGACTGCAGTTTAACACCGTTCATCCGATAGGCATGGGACTTTGGGGAGTTGATTAGAATACTACCTGGAAGGGTTCTGTAAAAAAATCATTTTTAATTTTGCAAGGGCGGGACCACTGGAGGGTGCGATTTTTCTCTATATACAGTATATACAAATAAAAGTCGATTGCGGTTTCTCGCCGTTCATCCGATTGCCATCAAACTTTGCTTTACACTCTAGGAAAGGTTCTGTAAAAAAAATCATTTTTAACTTCGCAAGGGCGGCACCCCTCTACCTTCCTGACACATGGGTGGTCACCGAAGTGTGTTCTACTTATTTTCATTATTTCGGTGAGTGATAAATGTACACTCAAGGTTTTCACGCGGTAGTGTAGGTAAACCAGTCCCGATATTGCATGCCTTATTTACATTTCAATAACTCACTTTTAAAAAACAAGGTCACGTGTCTAAGAATATAGGATTACTAACGCATGGATGAAACCCTTCTTATATATTTCGTTGGACTTTCTTCTGTTTCCGCGGCAACACGCGGGGACGGGTACGCTAGTATATTTATACTTTTTTTTTTACCTAACTATACTTACATAAATATATATTAGGGTGGTCATTTTTTAAAACTAACAGTAAGATATGTAACATTTCAGCCTTATTAGGAAAGCATCATCACCTGTTTCTTCCAGACAATGGGGCTGGTAAGTAGGTCACCAACAAGTTCTATGGCTCATGCAGGTTTTATTGAGCCATAGAACTGGTTGGTGACCTACTTACCATTCCTATTGCTATTAAATACTATGATAATGATTCCCTTCTATTACCAACTCAAAAGAATTTCAGTGAAAATAAACATTTAATGGTTTGGTAAAAAATTTAAGCAACCGAAGCAAGAGAATGGAAACATAATCAAAATATTTTTGATACTGTACATGCCAATTATAAAATAGAACTGATCTAATCACACAAAATCATTGTGCTGACTGTTGTGGTTTCATTTTTAGAAAATGAATCTGTTAATCTATTCAGGACCACAACTATTGCACGCATAATTTCAAATATCTGTGCACACAGTATGTCGTCAAATGACACGTGCATTTAAAAATTGCTAACGGTTTTCCTATATCTTAAATAGTTTTTGAGATACAGCATGGGACATGTGTCCCTATGGGCGTCAAGGGAAAATTATCGAAAATAGGTTGCATCGTGAGTTATGTCAATATGTTTGTTCTAAAAGTGATCAAACATTTGTTTGTTGCTGTGGTATATTAGAAATTGAAAATATCAGTAATGAGAACACATTTATGTCCTTTATAAGTGTATAGTCATCTATGAATGGAGCTTTAGGAAGCAGTTACGTGATGTTATGTAATATATGCAGCCATTGCAGACATCACATATACTGTCCGCTCTGTTCTCAATCTTTTCTGTTGCACATTGTGCATAACTTCTGCATTTTTCTTCTTTGATTTATCAACTTGTGGTGGGGTTGAAGTGAAATTCTTGCCTCTACGAACAGGTCTTGATGTAATCACTGAATGTGAGCTCACACTATCATTTGCCTGTTATTCAACCTTGGTTTCGCATTGTAGCCAGTATTGAATTCTTGTCACATGTATATATAAATGGCCTTTTGACTTCAAATCTTTATCTTGGCATTACATTATCAATGTATGAAACATGGAGATCAGGTTCAGTGGACCAGTAGTCTTCTAAGTTTAGAAGTACATGGTATCCCATCACAAGTTTCATTCTAAAAAATGTACAGATGTCTTGCAAATTAGTTTGAAAAAGAATCCCTTACTGTGGCATGTACAGTTTACTATGATCAATAATAACAAAATAACTCAAAATAACAAGGATTTAAGTGCCTAAAAACATTGGGATCTTCATTTCAATCAACATCTATTGTCAATTTTCCATAACCATAGTCAATAACTTTTATTTGAAACTGTGTTTTCAGAAGCCTCTCGTTGAAAATAATATCTTGCTGCAGTCTCTTTTTTAATTATCACAAGGATGTTTGGTTGTTTATGCTTTGGGCTAGTTCTATTGATGATAATGATATGTCAGCTTTGTGTCTAGGACATTACCACTCCGTCAAATTTCCCCTCCACCATCCCCCCCCCCGATGCTGAAGAACCCTGATCTTAACCCCATACTTCAAGCCTATAGCTAACCCTAACATAAATACCTAACTCTAAACCTACAGTTAACCCTAAAACTAACCCTAACCCTAATTTATCCATAACTGGATGAGGGGTAATTGCTCGGAGGTGGTAGTATCTGGTGGGGGGGGGGGTGTCTGAGGGGTAATTGTCACTATTAACTTTCTGAGGGGAAAAATCTAGTGTACATCGTGTATTTTTTGTCCATGCGGTTCTAAAAGTCTTATACAAGGTAACATGCATTTTACGAAATGACAGCGCAGCATGTTCAAAAATACTGCGCGGCCGCGCGACCATGCAGATTAGAGGGAATATCAGTCACTATAGCATGTGAGATATGTATGCAAAACAGAATGACTAGAATAAGGTGTAGGCCTTATCGTAGTGGTGACAATCTGCTCTTGGACTTGAAAAGGTCATTCATTATTTATAGATTCTACAATTACTTTGTCGACATTTTTCTACAGAATATTCACATCTTTTTCATCAATTAAACAAGTTGTTTTCATTGTCATTATAATCTATAAAAACTTAGTATCACATCTTTTTGTTTGAACCCTGCTAAAATCTTGTTACCTTTCCTGGAATCTTTTCATTTGGAAAAGGAACCTCAAGCCAATGAGGTAAAAGCACAATTGATGTTTTATCTTCAAATTCAATACGTTTCTCATCTGTTAAAAAACCACCTTCAACTCCTAAATTGTGTAACAAAAATATAAATTAGCTTTAGTTTTAAACATGTACAGACGATTGTTTTTAAAAAAAAAAAAAGGTTTTAAGTTAAAAATCTAAAATAAAAAATGTTTTAAATACAAGGATTCATATAATTATGCACTAAAAATAAGACTATAAAATATATATATAAAGATTTATAATAATGAACCACAATTTAAATAAGAAAAAAAGAAAAGAAAAACATAGACCACAGGTATAACATGGTGGAGCAGTATAACATGGTCATAACATGATGGAGTAGCTTAAAAGAATTCAACATCCAGTCTGCGGACATATAATACAGTTGGTAAACCCTATAACAATCTGAACCAGTCAAGTTACATTGATATGATTTTCATACGGGCTATGTCTCTGTGATATATGGACTCATAATGAAAACTGTGTGTGAAAACCCATTCTATGAAGACCGTGTTTAAAGATCCGTACAATGAAAACCTGTGCTGTGAAGACCCGTGTCGATATGACCCATGATGTGAAAATCCATTTGGGGAGAACATGTACTCTGATGACCTGTGCTTTGAGGACCCCAGATGGGAGGACAACGCTGATAGGACCTGTGTTGTTAAGGACAAGTGGATCTGTGTGGGAAATGTGTGTTGTGTGATGACGCTGATGATGATGATGCCTAATACCGCGGTTACACTTACGACATGTATGCTATACATTTCCAGAACACAAAGCCCGCCAAAATTTATTTTTATCTGGAACAATTTTCTTCACAGAACATGTATACTTTAGCGTTCACACTTACAGAACATGTTATAGAACATTTTATAAAACAAGCATGACCTTGACCCGGAGCGTCTGCTATATAGGCCCAGACAAATAAAATAAAGAGTAATCAAAGTAAAAAAAAAACGTAGATATTGGGCACACAGCTTTATTTTTTTTAAAAAGCAAAATGGTGTAGCCACGGTGCTTGCGATTCAACAATGAATTATCTAAAAATTAGAGAACATGCAAGATTTTATAAATTTTATGCCAGCTACTGGAGCTAGACAGTTTTTATAAATATAATGCTATGTATATTAGCATGGGTCGTAGACATTATCCACATGTTATTACCCCTCCTTCCCATCCCATACTACAATCAACCCTTCCCACCACAACCCCATGGTAGCCATTTCCCCAGCTTCTTTAATTGCCTGTCTATATCCTTCTGAAACAGCTTCCTATAAACAGGGCTAAATATTTGTTTGCTGAAAGTAAAGGCCCGATTTCTCCGAAAACTTCCATCTGCCAAGTTCATAAAACGTATTGAGATTGTGTTATAACTACACTGAGTCTATTATTAAGAACGAGCCAACCCGCGGCGTATTATACGCCGCTATTTAGTTGTTTTATTTTCTACTTTTCAGAAATTCATAATTTGTGAATTCGACAGTACCAATGCTGCCACTGAAAATATTTGCTTTAAAACACTAACCCCCCCCCCCCTTTCCCCCAACCCCTACCCTACACCCCCCCCCCCCCCCTGAAAGCAGCCTCCTCTTAGTTACTCCTGTAAGTTTAAAATCGTTTCAAACTAAATTATCTGCCCCTAATAGTCGTCACTAAACCCGGCTCTACGATTTATAAACACCGCTCACCAGACCATGTGGGGGTGGTAGTGATAGTGATAGACAGGAAGAGAGGGGACTGCGAGGCGCGCTTGCAGCTTGTTTTCTAACGTCTCCCAGAAGAGAATTATATATATAGATAAAAGTAGATCTAGTTTTTAGAGTAGGGCCTATGAATTCCCCCCCCCCCCCCCCACTTCATTTCTGTACGTTTATTGTGTCCGATTTTAAACATAAATAATTAGCCTGTGACTTTTTTATCCGGACGGAAGTGGAATTTATATAGAAAATATATACTTTTACCAGTGTCCGCGCCCCCCCCCCCCCTCTGGAGAAAATAGTCTGGAGAAACACTGATTCTGGTGGGTGGGCCTAAAGATTGGTTGCCAGACGGACATTGAAAATATGTTGATACACTTAAAGCAAAATATTTTTCAAGGAAAAATTGGAGATAAATTTGGTTAAATTATATTTTTTAATTAATTATTATTTTCGTAATTAATACCTAAACTGGTTTTAAGGCAAAATTGTAATACCTTAGACATTACATTATTTCATTAAAACGTGCTTGGAATGTAATTAAAGAAATAATAAATATTTATAAAAATGTAAATTTTAGTAGGGCCCATTGAAGTTATAAATTATGAAATCGTGTGCTCAAAAACTCAAACTCTGTAGAAGCTATATTTAATTTTACAATCAGCTGAGACCTAGGATGCGCTTACTACTTTTGACGCATGCGCACACATCTGAAAATTCAGAACATGTCCTATGTTTTCGCTCAGCGAGCGAAGACAAAAACTTGACCCAGAACATAATAAACCGGGAGTGATCTCCCCTAAACTTTCTCGAATATTCTTATATAACTTGGAATATAGACATGATTTTTAATTACTTAAACTTTTAAAAATAGAATAGAATCTCATAGAAAAAAGAATTGGGCACCAAGCAAACACCAAAACAAAATGTGCATAATAGTGCGCAATAGTACTTTATAAATTTACATGTGTTTTTTGAGAAATCGGAAAGAGTGAAAATTACTACTTCCAGTAAACGGAAATTACTCAAAATTTGACAGAAGGTAGAGAATTAGATCTTTTACTTACATGTGAAATTTCATTTATCTATCTAAAATAGTACTCAAGTTATAGGCTTTTGAAAAATTCAAAGTAAAAAAAGTACCACTTCCGGTTATCGGAAATAGCTCAAAAGTTGATACAGATCTACGATTTTGATAATATACTTATATATGAAATTTCATCAACCTAGCTGTAACAGTACTCAAGTTATTGTGGTTAAACACAGACAGACACACACAGACATACTTCAAATAATACTTCAAAAATGAATTGGCACCCAAGTATTAGTAAGTCACATTGCATTGTCATTGAAAGACATCAGCGTGGTAGAATGGGTAAATATTTCTCTAACTAGGTTTGACCGACGATGAAGCAAGACAAAAGAATGACACACAGATGAAGCAAGTTGCTTGTAAAGAGTAACAATAATATTTCATATAGTTACCAATAGCTAGTTTTGTTGGTTTCTCAGCAGTGCAACACTGATCTTTAAGAATCTATATAAAAAAAAGGTGAAAAATAATCTCTTCATTAGACAAACAATTTTCAGTAAATGAGAAAATGATTTCAAATCAAAGCTTACATTTTACATAATTGAATGAATGCAAAGTAAAAATGTCTATTACAAATATTTTTGACAGGGGTGCCCCTTATTTGGACAAAAAAGGCAACATACCATTTACGCACTTAGTATAAACACATAGACACTTTTATAATGCTGATGATCATGTGTATACAAGCAGCTGCAGCGGTACTATTGATCATTTTGTTAAGACTAATTTTGAGATGTCACATTATATTTAAACAAATGTATCACCCATTACTTACATAAATTATTATTAAATAGGTGATACTTTTTGCAACATTCCATGCAGCCCTGTTACAGGCCATTTCTTGGTCAGGTGTTTCAATATACTTAATATTTTTGTCTAAGCTCTCATCACCCATTAGAGCAGGCAGACTATAAGCTTTGTAAAGATATTAAATAGTTACCTCTTTTCTGAATCTTTTGATATGTAAGAAAACTCTATTCCCTGTTTTCTCAAAGTAATGTTGCACAAATCTTTTTCCCATCCCTAAGAATGAATTCATACAAATGAAAAGACCATCTTGACTTTCCTGAATAAAAAAATTGCAGAAGTTAATATTAAAGCAATAATTTTATTAAATTTTACTACACATTGATGTAAATATTAATATCAAAATGGAAAGAATTAAATATTTCTAATCCTAATTAATATATGATTACCAATGGTTAATTTTTTATGTCTGATCTCACTTTCTGATCTTCTGATTGAATCATGTTAAAACAAATGCACATCAACGGGTTCTAAAAGTGTTACTAATCATTATTTTTAAAAGTGTAACTTGTCTGATGAAACTTATAACCAACGAGCCGACCCGCAGCGTATCATACGCCACTATTTAGTTGTTTTATTTTCTACTTTTCAGTAACTCATAATTTGTGAATTCGACAGTACCAATGCTGCCACTGAAAATATTTGCTTTAAAACACTACCCCCCCCCCCCTTTCCCCTAACCCCGACCCTACAGCCCCCCCCCCCCCCCCCCCGTGAATGCAGCCTCCTCTTAGTTATTTCTTAGTTACCTCCTTTAAGTTTAAAATCAAACTAAATTATCTGCCCCTAATAGAAACCCGACTCTACGGCTCTACGATTTGTAAACATTTAGCTTTGTAAACATTTAGCGTGACCACAGCTCACCAGACAATGTGGGGGTCGGGTGGGGGTGGTAGTGATAGTGATAGAGAGAAAGAGAGGGGACTGCAAGGAGGCGCTTGCAGCTTGTTTTCTAACGGCTCCTAGAAGAGAATTATATATATAGATTCTTTATTTTTCACAGCATGACCTTAAGTTCTAAAACTGAGTTACTTAAATGTAAACAAAGAAGGTGCTGTATTTCTTGGATAATAGTTGTTGAAGTGCGAGTTTTTTGACACTACTGCCTCGAGTATACATTAATCACTGTGAAGTAGGACACACCTCAGTGACTGCCCAAGTGTCAAGGGCATCACTAGGCTCTCTTAGGAGAACCAGTTCCACTACAGCAGGGGCGCCTGATTCTGTTTATTCATTGAATGTAGAGGTTAGAAAGTTAAAAAGCATTTTAACAATGCTCATTCTAAACTGTATCATTAACCCAGTTATTACTGCTTCTTCAATCAGCACAATTTGTTCTTGTTGTTGACCATGTGTGAGAAGGAAGCGCACATCTGCAAAATTCAAGACTTCAAGCTGTTGTGTCCGTTGGATTCCATTTTGTTTCCTACAGCTTGTTTTTTTAGCGCAATTTCCATACTGGACAATTGCGATTTTTAACTCGTCATTTCTGGTGATGGATGGATGGATGGATGTGCGCAGCTTTAAGTCGTATCTCCTCCTCAATGAAGCAATATCGAGGACTAGTTCCAAAAGCAAATATGTTAAGCAAGTTCCGAGGATGATTGTGGGCCAAAACAATTCCCGGAATTCCTTCCTGGATTTCCCGGAAAAGCCAAAAAACCTCGAAAAAATGCAGTTTTTTGGCCCATATCTCGGCAACCAGACCACTTAGCGACTTGAAACATTTACCAATAGATTCCTGCCATAATTTAGAACAATATTGCCGAAGAAAGTTTTCAAAAATATCCTTTCGTTCGGTCACAAAAAATTAATTAAGAATTTTTAAACTGAGCATTGTGTAGGCCTAGGATGATATTTTTAATTTAAACTGAGCATCGTGTAGGTTTTTAGCGCAAAAAAATATCCTTTCGTTCGGTCACGAAAAATTAAAATTTGTTATGGATAACATAAGGAAATTGCGCTTAAATTGTCACTAGACTTTTTATTAACTTGTTTTACAATCAACCAGTCATCAAACTACCTATGTCGTGTTCAAATGTGTACAATAAATGTTCCTGATAATTTGCTTTGTGTATCACTTGTATGATCCTATTCTAACAAACTTATAATCCAACTATGTAAAATATTTTAACAGAGACTGTCCTAAGATAGAACATAAAAGACTGGCCTAACAATATATATATATAAAATATCGCCTAGGACAAACTACCCTCTAAAGTCAGATCAGGATTATTTACTTTCTCGTATATACGAAGTATAGAGAAAGTCTTGTAATCGTGCAAAAAAAAAAAATCGAGATTTTTGCAAATCTCGACGTTTTATATCTCACTGATACGGAAAAACATAATTTTGCAATCTTGTCCGTATGTCTGTGTGTCCGTGTGTGTGTGTGTGTGTCCGTGTGTAAACACGATAACTTGAGTACCGTTACAGCTAGGTTGATGAAATTTCATATACAAGTATTATATCAAAATCGTAGATCCGTATCAACTTTTGAGCGATTTCGGATAACCGGAAGTGGTACTTTTTCTACTTTGAATTTTTCAAAAGCCTATAACTCGAGTACTATTTCAGATAGATAAACGAAATTTCACATGTAAGTAAAAGATCTAATTCTCTACCTTCTGTTAAATTTTGAGTAATTTCCGTTGACCGGAAGTAGTACTTTACGCTACTTCCGATTTCTCAAAAAACTAATGTAAATTTATAAAGTACTAATACTATTGCGCACTATTATACACACCTTTATTAGGCGTTCGCTTGGTGCGCAATTGTTTTTTACTGAGATTCTATTCTATTTTTAAAAGTTTCAGTATTTAAAATGGATTAAAGATCATAACTATATCCCCAGTTACCATCCCCTGTTGTTTTATATAAGAATATTCGAGAAAGTTTAGGGGAGATCACTACCGGTTTATTTTTCTAACATTATAAAACTTTTTAAACAGGGTAAGGCATCTTAAGGGGGAATTTAATTAGCATGGATTAAAGTGTCGTGGAACGAAAATCATACACCATAATTATTAAATCTTTTCGGGACTGTTGAGCGCACACACACACAACATATATGTGTGTAATATGTGTATGTAATTAAAACATACATTTCGACTTTACCAATTTAAGTATAGAGTTAGCCACAAGTTGTTGAGAATATTTCTGGGGAGGTTTCTGCGAAAAAAAATGTTCAAATTCGCAAGGGCGGCCCACGGGTGGGTGCGATTTTTCTCTAAATACGGTATATAAAAATAATAAAAGTACATTGCAGTGACACCATTCACACCATCGCCATGAAACTTTGGGAAGATGTTGAAAATACTCCTGGGGAGGTTTCTTCTTTATAATGGTATATAAAAATAAAAGTAAGTCGATAGCGGTTCGACAGTTTATCCGGGTGACATAAAACTTTAGGGAGTTGATTAATGGGTGGGTGGTGGAGGTAGGGGGGATTTAATTTTGCATGCCCCCCCCCCAGGATGCTATTTGGCGCCTTGGTCTTTCCCGTGAGCACTATGGCGACTACGTTCGGTCTAAACAGTGTGATAGACTATGGATGGGATGGGATGTTACAAACGCTCACTAAAACGCTCACACAAACGCCCGCGCCCTAATAGGGTGCGATTTGGCTGCAAATAAAAATTTCTGTTTCGGCCCCCAAAGGCTCATATGGCCCGCTGAGAGCTATATAATATGTTTTATTTTAATAATCAGAATAATTAACCAGGGTTAGAATATTTATCCAAACAGTTTAGTCACTTTGTGAAGAATGCAATTAGCATCTATTTTTAGACAATCCAATCAGATATTGAGATAGAGCATCTAATAATAGACCATTAGTAACGCTAACATATTGAATAAGTAACACTGATGTTAAAAACATGTGAAATAATTTTTTTACGCGTTAAAGAAAAAATACTGTTCATTTGTGTCACTTTACCGAATGCCGCAATCTGCATCATTGCTAACAGGATGCTATTTGGCACTCTGGGTTAACCTATGAGCACGATGGTGCCTGTTAGTTTTAAGGAGCCAGGGGCCGTACGCTGCGCCTATGCGGTAGTGTAATCAGGGGGGCCCCTCTACGTCTCTGACACATGGGCGGTCACCGAAGTGTGTTCTACCTCATTATTTCAGTGAGTAATTAATGTACACTCAAGGTTTTCATGCGGTAGTGTAGGTAAACCCGTGTCCCGATATTTATTATCCAAACGCAGGCATTGTTTAAATTTATATAACTCACTTCTAGAAAACAAGGTCAGGCGTCTAAGAATATAGGATTGGTAACACATGGATGAAACCCTTCTTATATATTACATCGGACTTTTTTCTATTCACGCGGCAACAAGCGGGTACGCTAGTTGAGTTTAAAACGAACTAAAAACCTCAAAATTAGTGCCTAATGGACTAAAAACAGATGTCTATTATTCAGTAATCTTGTTTGAATTGAAAATTGAGAAAATTTTAGATTTAGTGAGAAAAGGCTGCCTTTTTCAGCAGCCATCTTGTTTCGGTTATAAACAATATTCAATATAGGTCTAATAAAAAGTAAAAAATAATACATACTCATTTTAAAACAACCATTCAACCTTTTAATTTAACCATAAAATGTTCTAAAATATGTCAGCCATATAGGCTAGGCTAGCCTAATTATTATAATGTTGATTACATTTTTAATTAGAGCTATGCACAAAATTAATAGCTAATTGTAGCTTAATTAAATTTTCTGTAGCCTATTATTTCAGGTGCTGATATTATTTAACTTTCATTTGTGATAAATTGCGACATGATTTTTCAAAAATTTTTCTTCTTTTAAAACCTGTTTGCTGTTGTGCTTTTAAGGATGATTTTAAATACCAATATCCGATAATATCCGCTAAAATAGATTTTTTGGGTTGTTAGTAGATCTAGTATTGTAATCTTGACTAATTTTATGGTTAGAAATTAGGGTTAGGCATATGGTAGGACTAGGGTTGGGGTTAGGGACAGGGTTAGCATTGACTGACATTAACCAGCGGATGCTTTTATTCGGACCTGGGTCCTTATAGCCTCGGCCGCGATTCTGACCAGCCAATAAAATTGTAAAGATTCAATTAAACAATAATTCTTTTAAGATACAGAATTCATCAAACAAACATAAAAGGTATAATTTTATTACAGTTACAGGAGTGTGTAACGAACTTAATGCCGGGTCTGAATAGCGGACATGGCTATGTAGTAGGTTGTTCGGCTTCCAGGTTTGTTTGTTTATATTTTCTCACA